CCTTTCACAGTTGTCTGTGCCGTGAATGCCTTGGCCCCCCACGTGCTGAACAAGGACCTCGGTGACATTGTTGGGGATTTCAGAGGCTTCTACAGGCAGCTCACGAGTGATGGGCAGCTGAGATGGGTAAGGTGTCTTGTTTTGTAAAACTATTCTGTAAATAACATTCCTGAAGTCTCATGTCCTTTGATTGCAACAACTGTGAAAATAGAGACAGGTTTAAGATATTAAGATAAACATCTTATTCAGATGAATTAGGGCTTGAACCAGGTGGACAGTCAGTATTTTAAGGTAATCTAGTCCTTTCTGTGAGACTTGCCTCTGGACATACTTGGATCCCAAAAGCTATTGCTGCCCTTCCAGACCTCATCTCTGCTCCCTGAATAGAACGAAGTTGGTCTAGACTCCCTAGAATATAAAGTGCCAAATGGGAACCTTTTAAAGGGAGAAATAATATGAGAAGAATCGTGGGAGGAGGTTATTAAGGACAGAAAAGTAAGAGAAGAGCAAAAGTTAAGAAGAGAGAGACTAGAGCACCTTTATGTGTGTAGGACTGTATTTGAACCTTAAGTTTAAAGCATGAAGAAAGTGAGATTCTAGAGATAGGATTTTATCATCGTTAGATCAGGGCTTTCCTGCTGGCTCAGTGATAAAGAATCTGACTGCAATGCAAGAGACCTGGGTTCAATCCCAGGTCAGGAAGATCCCTTGGAGAAAGGAATGACAACCCACTCCTGTATTCTTGCCTGGAGAATCCCATGGACAGAAGAGCCTCACGGGCTACAGTCCATGCTGTTGCAAAGAATGAGACACAACTGAGTGACTAACACTTTCACTTTTTCAAGGTCAGTCCAGTAGCTCACACCTTGCCCGTGTCTCCTGACATCAGGTCTGTCTTTTTCTAACTGTTCAGTCTCCTGAGCTCAGAGAAAGGCATGTTGTCCATATTGCCTCGGATTTCATTCTTAACTTCTGCAAACCGAGTGAAACTTCCTTTAAAAGCATCCCCTGGAAAGAGTTCCCATTGGTTGAATCTGGGGCAATTCAGTAAAAGTGGTATTTAACTATATCATAAATATTTAACTGTTGGCATTTTACTTGTTTTCCTTATTTCTGAATTTTGGTACTTGGAATAAAGACTCTTGCTATATCCTTTGCTTTAAGAAAAAAATAATGTGGTAGTCATGACTGATAAATCACTGAATAACCTAAGAGTCTCTGATTCCATTCAGATAGCAAACAACCAACAAAGGAAAGCTTGTCATTACCACAGAGTACAAACTAATATAACAGGAATGGTAACGTTAGAAAACCACCATATTACAAGCATCATGGCTGTAACTGATCGAGGCGGGAACGATCAGTGGATGCTAAAACTTAGGGGCAACGTTAATCTCCTTTGAAAAGGAAATGGTAACCACACAGTGGAGAAGACTAAAGGATACTAACTTACCCTAGCACTAAAGGATAGTATGTGCGTGCTCAGTCCTATCTGACTCTGAAACCCCGTGGACTGTAGCCCGCCAGGCTCCCCTGTCCATGGGATTCTTCCAGTCAAGGTTACTGGAGTGGGTTGCCATTTCCTCCTCCAGGGAATCTTCCTGACCCAGGGATGGAACCCCCATCTCCTGCATTGATGGGCGGATTCTTTATCATCTGAATCATCAGAGAAGCCCTAAACAATAACAGCCCTGATAACAGCAACAAGAATGCAGTGGCAGCATCACAGTCTAATCACAATGGGGCTGCAGACAACCCAGCTGGAGGAACACTGTCCTTGAAAATACTGATAATTATTTTTTTAGAAAAGAAAATTTGCTCCAGATAAAAAGAGACTAAAGTGACATGTCAGCTAAATGCCATTTGTGAATAACAGAAAGTACATTATTGAGACAATTGGTGTAATTTGATTATGAACTGTCTTCATAGATAATAGTGTTCTATCAATATTATATTTCCTGAATTTGATCATTGCACTATGGCTGTGTGAGAGAATGTCCTTGTTTTTAGGAACTATACTCTGAAGTATTTAGAATTAAGGGGGCATGGGATCTACAACTTACTCTCAAGTGACTCAGTAAAATAAATTTTTCTTATGTATTATATTTTATTTATCTGTGTATATATATGTGGGTGTTTGTGCATATATATATATGTAAAAACAAAGAGAGAGGAAATACACAGGAGTTCTCTGTACTATTCTTGCAGATCTTCTATAGGTTAGAAACTACTGGAGAAGAGCTTAACCTCCAAGTGAGTTTCCGTTCAGTTCAGTTCCCTTGCTCAGTCGTGTCTGACTCTTTGTGACCCCATGGACTGCAGCACGCCAGGCCTCCCTGCCCATCACCAACTGCCAGAGTTTACCCAAACTCAGGTCCATTGAGTCGGTGATGCCATCCATCTCATCCTCTGTCGCCCCCTTCTCCTCCCGCCTTCAATCTTTCCCATCATCAGGGCAGAGCTTCCATTGCTGCCTTTTAATTCTTGAAGCGTGTCCCTGGCTAGGAGACCTAAATATCCTTTTCTTTTCTTTTCTAAGAAGTGCTGATGTGTTTTGCTTCCTAACCAGATCGGTGCTGAGGAGGGTGTGGTGCATCTGGCCGCAGCGGCCGTGCTCAACGCCGTGTGGGCCCCGTGGGCCAAGCAGGAGGGGAAGGTCATCCTCCAGCAGCATCCCTGACCCCATGGAGCATACAGCGCACAGCAGGAACACGACTCCCTCTGCGGGCAAAGGCTCGTACAGCAGGCTCCCAGGGGACGCGAGAATTGTTCCATTGTTTGTCTGCCCAGAGGGATATTGGCAGCAGTTGGGACATCATCAGAGTAAGTTAGAAAGGGCTGAGAAAAGCAGGCAACAGAGGTGAGGGCCAGCTGGAGCCAGTGGGCTGGGGCGCAGGCAGGCATTAGTCTGATAGCAGGAATTTTCCACTAGCACATTTATTGTCGGAAAACACATGGGTGCCTCACACATGTTTTACAAATCTTTTCTTTTCTCCAAGCCTCTGTGGAAGTTACTTGTTGACATGGTAAGTAAATTCTTTAATACTCTATCTGTTTTCCGTAAATGAAATGGATTTCATGGATTCCTTGCCTTTTGATTATCAGCGGATCCATTCAGCATCATCTCTGGATCAGTCACTGTCCTGCTGATCAGGCAGCACGTAGTCAGGTCCAGTATTCCTCCTCTGGTGTCTGAGGTGGCAGAGAGCTGTGCCTACGCAGGCAGGGGGGTCTGATGGGTTCCACCTCCCCCACTCTGGTGCTTCATTACATGTGTGATCGAAGTCTCAAGCTTCCATTTCCTGACTGTGAAAAGGGAATAATCCTAACTTCTCTAGAAACTCCACAGAATTGGTTCAAAGACTAGTTGAGAAAAGTGCTTCAAACTCTGAAGACCAAGGTGTTATTACTAAGATATTATCTGGTCACTTTGACATCAAACGCAAATGGCAGACCAGACCCTTGAGGAAGGAGCCCAGGGTGAATCCTAAGGATAGGCCTCTGCCATTTCCTTTCTCCCTGACATGTCAATACCAGGGACAAGCATCTCACTGCCGAGGAGGAAGAAACTGGGCAGGTTAAAGGGAGTGAACATCAGACCCAGGCAGACCTGGCTTTGAGTCTGGCCTCCACCACTTGCTGGCTGTGTGACCTTCGGCATGCCGCTTAACATCTCTGAGCTTCAGCCACTTCGGGGCAATGTCTTGGATGGTCACTGAAAATCTGATGGTTGACAAGGGCCCTTATTATTAGGCCTCATAATTAAGGAGAAACAAAGAACCATGGCCTTGAAGATTGTTGGAGAAAAGTGGAAAGGCTGTCGCATCATTTCTAACACGGTTGCAGCTGGCATGGGGGCATCATCTGAAGGAAAAGGCATGGACCTCTTGGGCCACCTGCAGGCTCTAGGCTGGACTCTCCAGGGAGGTGCCAGAGGTGGCCCCCAGAATTAAATGATCTGACGACCACTAGGAGGTAACTAAGATTGCCCCTCTGTGGAGTTTTCATTCTTATGGATCCTGTTCCCTGTTTCAAAGCCAGTGGTCTTAAATGAAGCAGAATCTCCACTTTCAAAGGGCTTTGATGACAGTGAAGGGTCACAGTGGCATAGGTACTGTTGGTCATGGTACAACCTGCTTCCCAACAGACTGACTCAGATTGGTGGGGGGAGGTCTCAGCCAGAGGCCTGGCTGAGAGTGTGGGCCTCTCCAGGGAGGCCAGAGCGCTGAGGGCAGGGGATGAGGAGGAGGGAGCCCAAAGGTCCTTTCCTGGACAGAATGAGCCCAGGCCCAGCGTAAGCAGATTCTTAGAACCGAGATCCACTTGTGGACTGATGTGGGCCTTTGCATCCTGCCGTCTCGCCACCAGGACCCCCAGACGCTGGTGTCCTGCATCGATTTCAGGTACATCACTGACGTCCTGACGGAGGAGGAGGCCTGCGGTGAGTCATCCCCACGCGCTGGGAGCTTCCTGGTCCATTCTGACTGGCAGCCACCAGGCCTAGAGCCTCATTGTCTAAAAGAGTATGATGCTTTTTATTTTTTCCAGAAATTCTGTGGCAAAGTCAAGTCGGGAAAAAAGAGCGAGGTGGGTTGTGAGGAAATTCCCTCGTTATTTTTGCTCTCATTGTGCATCTCTGCAGGTCCCTGTCCTTGGGGGCTCACATCACATGCCCCGCTCCACCCCCCGCAGACAGATGGTTGGGTACGGACGCAGCAGCCTCCAGGGGTGACCTCTTAGGTCAGAGTTCACCTTGGCCACTGCCAGGAGCAGGGCTGGCTTTAGGGTCACACCGCATGACAGGAAGGCTTGGCCAGCAGGGCCTCCTGGAGGGTAACCGGCCCCAGTGTGACATCCTCGGGGCTGGGGGATGAGGATGAACAGGGCAGGCAGAATAGCTGGATTCTCCGCAGGCAGCACTTCAGCCCCAGATGATTCTAAAGCTGGAGGTCCAGCGGGTGCAAACTGTTGAAGATGGTTTTGTTTCCACAGAGGAGCAAATGCTGGCACATGGCTACCCCGCCTACACCACGTCATGTGCCTGGCTGGGCTACCCTGATGCCACGCTGAAGCAGGTGGGCCTCGGAACCGGCTTCTGTAGACAGCAGGAGATGTGACATTTTCCTCTTGGCATTCCTGAATCGTTGTGGGTTCCAGGCCTTATCCTGGATACATGGACACATTCCACGTAAAAGGAGAGGCATTTCCCTTGTGGACGCAGGACTCTGTAGCCTGGCGAGCCCACCTCGACTCTGGATGGGGAAGCTGGCCCCGGGCAGAGGCAGCGGTGTAACCTTGTATAACATGACCCCTGAGCGTGCTCTGCCTTGGTTTCCTCACTGCAAAGTGGGAAATGATAGCTATCTCAGGGGTGGTTTTGACGATTCCAATGAACACTGCCCTGTGTGATGCTCGAAGACCAGAGGTGAGGTCAAGGTGATGCACCAGAGGTGATGCTCAAGACCACCAGAGGTGGCCCATGGCTGCATCGCTCCCCTTTCTCATCACCCTGCCCTCACCTGCAGCTGACAGAGAAGGGGGACTAGCTTCTGACTGTTACTCTTTCACTGGCTCGGTCTGTGGACGCTGCAGACTATCCCAGCTTTAAAAAGAGGGACAGAGATGCTCCATTCCCCCACCAGGGATGTTGTGACAATGAAGGAAGTGGTTCCCATAGAGATGAGGAAGGAAAGTCACCAAACAGCCTTGCTCTGTTAGCTAAGCTGTTTGTGCTCTGAATTTCAACAACACATGATTGTTTTTCTGGTTCATGGTGCGGCCGTAACATTTGTGAAGCCGAGTCAGAGATGACTGAGATGCCGCTGGGTCCAGGGAGGGTATATACTGATGGCTCTGCTCCTTTCCCCACAGCTCTGCAGCGAGGCACTGAAGGACGGCTGGACCAGGTAACTCATTTGGGTGATCGTGAACTTGACTCTGCAGTTGGCAAGTGAGGCCAGTTGTGGAGAGGAGCCAGGAGCCAAGGGCACCAAGGAGGTCAGGATTCGCCAGGAGCAGCCTGGCATGTTGGGACTCAGAAGTTTCATCTGAGGCCCTTGGTCCAAAGATAAGATATGAGCCTAGTTAAAATCCTGGAACATCAGAGTCAAAAGAGATCACTGATTTCCAGCTTTATCCAAAAACGAGTCTAGTTAGAATCCTGGCACATCAGAGTGAAATGAGATCATTGATTTCAAGCATTGATCCAGAATAGAAAGCCATTCTTTACTGCAGTACCAAGCGTTGATTCAGCTTCTGTGTGAAAACCTCCAGACGCACTGAGCTTGGTAGGGCATTTGTGTGTAGTTGAAGGGCTCTGAGGGTTAGAAGAGCTTCGATGTAATGAACCCTGGACTCCCTTATACCTTCTAGCCACTGGTCCCAATGATTCTCCTCGGAATTCTTCCAAGAGCTAAGCTCCTCCTCTTCCCCAGGCCGCCACCTCTCCAGGCTATCCCTCTGCACTTCTCATCTGTCCTGCTGTGTGGTTACGGACCCCTGGGCATCCTGGGGTTTCCTCCAGGTTAGCTGTGGCTGTCCGTGGCCACTGCGGCTCACGGTGGACGGTGTGCCTGTGACACATCACTTGGATTTCTACATGAGTCTGGCCACCTGCCTCCTGCTGCTCCGAGAGTGGTCTGTGGAGCAGGAGCGCCCGCCAGCCCCGCTGCAGCTGTGGTAGATTAAGAAAATTATGTGTGTAGGTTGCTTGATGAATGATAAGGACTAAAAAAAGTCTCCAATTAACCTAAAATGCAGAATCTTGAGCCTTAACCTAGACCTGCTGCATCAGAATCTGTATTTTTTGTGTGACTTAAAAAAATTTCAGTGGAGTATAGTTGGTTTACAAAGTTGTTAGTTTCAGGTGTACAACAAAGTGAATCAGTTACACATACACATATATCCACTTTGTTTTGGTTCTTTTCCTATATAGACCGTTACAGAATATTGAGTAGAGTTCCCTGTGCCATACAAGAGGCCCTTATTAGTTATGTTTTATAAACAGTACTGTGTATCTGTCGTTTATCCCTCCCCCACCCCCTGGCAACCATATTTGTTTTCTACATCCATGACTACTTCTGTTGTATAAATAAGTTCATTTGTAACTTCTTTTAGATTCCACTTATAAGTGATATATTTTTTATCTGACTTCACTCAGTATAACAATCTCTAGGTGCATCCATGTGGCTTCAAATGGTAATTTTTCATTCTTTTCAGTGGCTGGGTAATACTCCACTGTATACATTGTATACATGAGGACTTACCTGGTGGCTCAGACGGTAAAGCGTCTGCCTACAATGCGGGAGACCCGGCTTCAATCCCTGGGTTGGGAAGATCTCCTGGAAAAGGAAATGGCAACCCACTCCACTATTCTTGTCTGGAAAATCCCATGGACGGAGGAGCCTGGTGGGCTATAGTCCATGGGGTCGCAGAGTCAGACACGGCTGAGCAACTTCACAGCATACATGTACCAAAAATCTGCACTTTAACAAGATCCCTGGGTGATTTGCATGCCCACAGAACATTAAGAGGCACTGAATTCCTGTTGATTCCTCAGCTAAATAAAGGGCTGGGGAAGTGAGAACTTGATGGAGGCAGCATGGGGCACTAGAAAGATGCTTGGGATGCGGTGGATTTGGAATCAACATTGAGCCTTTTCCCCATTCCCTGTGAGTGCCTGCTGTGTGATCATGGGGAAACTGCTCACCCTCTCTGAACCTTGTTTTCTGTCTAAACTGGGAAAAACAGATTTCAATGTTCTCCTCAAAGTTGTTGTTTCTGAAAAGGACTAGCACAGCTGGGGTTGGCAGCAGGTGCTCATAAGTGCCAGCACCTTTCCTCCCGCTGAGTAGCTGGGAGAGGCTGACTCAGTGACCGCTGGGGGGTCAGAGAAAGCCCAGGAGAGATCTCTTTGGCCCTTGAGCTCAGAAAGTCTGCTTGGGGCTTCCGCCCAGGATGGAAAGGTCATCATCAGTGTTTGGTGCTGAGGGCAGAGGATGTAAGAGGGGCTTTTTGTTGGCACACAGGGTGGGCGTTGTGGAATGTAGGGGACCTCGGGCCATCCAGGCTCCAGAGCAGCAGGTGATGCCCGTGTGCAGGACAGAGCCCGGTGAGCGAGCGGAGAGAAGGCCGGCTCACCCGCCACATCTGACCACGCCTCTTTTGTTCTTAATTCCCTTCCATGGCACAGCAAAAACCCGTCATGTTATTAAAGTTCTAGTGCTCTATCCACTCCTGGACTTGAGGTCAGCAGGCCATTTAGTTATTGCCCTGATACTGAGTAAAGACAGATGCTTACAGGGTTATTTTTGAGTGGCTTGTCTGAACACTGATGGGAAAGGGCAAGAGTTTACTGGAAGACAGGACCTGTAAATTACTGAAACAGTCACTTCTGCAGAAAATCCAAATGTCTTCACTGAGTCAGTGAACAGTTATAAATTATGAAACGAAATTTATGTTACAGGTTTAAGGTAAAAGTTGGTGCTGATCTCCAGGATGACATCCGTAGATGCCGACTCATCAGAAACATGATTGGACCTGAGAAGACACTGGTAAATACCCTCCCCGGCCGCTGAGAAGCAAGCAGCCTCTTATGAGGCCTCTGCTAAGTCGCTTATGTCATGTCCAGCTCTTTGCAACCACGTGGACTATAGCCCACCAGGCTCCTCTGTCCATGGGATTCTCTAGGCAAGAATACTGGAGTGGGTTGCCATTTCCTTCATCTCCTGCATTGGCAGGCGGCTTCTTTACCATTAGTGCCAGCTGGAAGCCTCTGGCTGGGGCCAAAACACAAGCTGCTTCAGGCGGGGATTAAGGAACATTGGGGATTTTAACACTGTATGTCAGAGGTACAGCTTTGAGGTCTTGGAGTAGGCAAATCTTAAAAAAAGCTGAAAACCAACAAACACAAGTGAGAGGGGTGGGTAGTTTTTAACAGTTTGATTCTGTAGAACTGTTCAATAAGATCAATTTAGAGATCGTTGCTTTGTGCTAGTGTGGCTGTGCCTGAGCAAACAGGTCTCCCGTTGGTGCCGCACTGTGTCAATCATTTAATCCCCCTTAACAAATCCGCCCTCTGCCCTTGGGTAGGTGGGCTTCAGGGAGCCACTGCTCAAGAATCTGAAACTTTTGCTGAGATAAATGTAAGGACCAGCCACTCCTGTGTATTTTTATTATGTTTCTTATTACGTGTAAAATATTTTCCTAAAAGAAAGTTACAATAAGATAGTTTTAAATTGTTTTGGAAGCATGTTTCATATATTAAAATATAAGTTTGAGTCCTTGACGTAGGATCAAAAGCCCCATTATCTGTATATGAATTAACACCACTTTTGTCTTCTGAGGTCATCCTCATCTAAATAATTTATGACACAGATCGATTCTGGTGTACCACTCAGCACGTTCTACCAGAGAAATCGTCTCTGGGTCTGACTTGGCCAAGCGTGATGATGTCAGAGACAGAGAGGCCCTTTCTTACCTCTGCACACTCAGCACCTGGCTTCCAGAGGCCCAGACTTGAAATCATCATTTACTTGACTTATTGCAAGTTACTCCTTTGCATGTCAGCTTTCCTGTCTGTAGGATGGGTTAATACGAACTGCCTCATAAGAGTTATGACATTAAATGGGACAGGATCTGTAAAACGCCTGGTGTAGTAGGTACTTAATTAATGATACAGTTTGGGTTATTTATTATCATGCTAACCAGAGTAGACAATAGCCAGTAAGAGACCACTGAGAACAAACTCAGCGTTAACTGTGAGTGATTCAGAATGTGATGGAACAGTTCCTACAAACTATGAACCTTGCAAGACAAATCTATTTTGGTGGTTTCTAAATGCAGGTTGGGCTTCCCAGGTGGCAAAGTGGTAAAGAATCTACCTGCCAATGCAGAAGACATGGGTTCAATCCTTGGCTCAGGAAGATCCCCTGGAGGAAATGGCAACCACTCCTGTATTCTTGCCTGGGAAATCCCATGGACAGAGGATCCCTGGTGGGCTACATGGGGTCACAGGGTCAGACACAACTGAGCATACATGCACAAATGCAGATCAGGCTGGAGCTTCAGAGCCAGCCAGCACTCTGGGCCCAGCCCAGGGCACTTCTGGACCTCACAGCAGCTCCCTGAGTGATGCCATCTCCGAGACAGCATGTCAGGCTCATCTTAGCGGCCCCCTTTGTCCGGTTGCATGCTGGGCCCCACAGTCGTGATGCCGAGTGACCGCGAGTAACAGACAGCTCTTCCTCCCTGGAAGTGCTGGGTCAGCAGTGGGCAGGCCTCCCCTCGAAGGGTCTCTTTCCCCTTTCAGATGATGGACGCCAACCAGCGCTGGGACGTGCCCGAGGCCATGGAGTGGGTGACAAAGCTGGCCGAGTTCAAGCCGCTGTGGATTGGAGCCCACCTCCCCTGATGACATTCTGGGACACGCTGCCATTTCCAAGGTAGAGCAACTGCTGCTGCCAGAGCGGTGGTCTCAGACCCTAGGATTCCTGGGCTTGCTTCCTCTCGCACTGCTGTTTATCCTAGAGAGAGTAATCACTAAAAGTTGAAAGGCTACCAGCAACCCAGAGGTCACCAGACCTGATTCCTGTGCTTGGTAAACACAGAAATCTGACTGAAGTTCAGATCTTTTACTCACGCAGACTGAAACAAGCGGAGACTCCTCCGGCTGATTCACAAGCGGAGGCTTGCTAAGGTCGAGGCCAGGCGGACCCATAGACGGCTGCCCGTTTCCCCTAGAGCCCTTGGACCAGGGCACTTCCTGGTTGAACCAGGGCAGGTCCACCTGGACTGGGGGCCCTCTTGGCTTCTCTCCCCTTCAGGTGTCAGAACGCAGTGCATGAGAATATGTGAGAAACAACCTATGTCTCAGGGAGTCTCCCGTTAGCCGGGTTCACAGTACTGACTGTGAAGCCAAGTGCCAGGGGGTCACTTACAAGGAAGGAGTTGGGGGAGAGGAACCAGCTGTGGGCTGTGAACCTGTGATGCCATCAGACCCAGGTGGTCCAGGGCCCCCCTTTTACGGCACCTAAAACTTCACACGGCTCCAAAGCAAGGTTCTTTCCTTCTTCAGCTCTAAATAGCTGAAGAGTCCAAAAATATTTTCAAACATTAGGAGTGTCAGTTCAAAAACAGGAAAATGACAACGGGTTGCCTTGCATTCACAGGCACTGGCCCCCTTGGGCATCGGCGTGGCCACAGGAAAACAGGTAGGAGACATCTCCTTGGGGTGGCACACACTGGCACCACCTGTAGACACTGCACACGAGGCTACGCCACCTGTGTTCTGCAGTGGGAGGTTTTCTTCATCTTAGAAATGGGGTTACTTTACAGCAAGACATGGGCAAGAGTTTGTAGATTCTTCAACAATTCCTGTGACTCTGGTCACTGATCTTTTTCAAAGCATCTCATTGGAATTTACAAGGCAGCAACTTAAAGCTGCAGGGGTGTAGCAGGCACCGATTGATTTTAAGAAAGTCCGCCTCGAAACCACTTAAACACACTGCGTTCCCATTCTGTGCTGGTAAATGAGCACAAGCACCTGCCAGAGCCCGCGGCAGACTGCGCGTGAGCGGCGCTGTGCGGGGAGCGGGCTCTCGGCTCTCCTGGCCGAGGAGCAGCGCTCTTCTGCCCTGGCTGTTCTGTTGCCCGGGTCACCTGCTCACCGCGATGCTGCTTCTCCCACTTACCAGTGCCTGCAGCGGTCACGCCCTGATAGATGGTCTTTTATGCGACACACAGGAGGCAGACACACATAGTCTTATGGTCTTTTATGCAAGACACACACACATTCTTACTTCTGCCAGCAGACTTGTAATGAAGTGAGCAGGAGGTCCCCTCCTGCCTGTCAGGGCTCGCCTCATGGCCAGTGAGGACGAAGAATGAAACAGTCCAGGCTCCCAGGAGGCCACTGCTGAGTGACTTGGAGTGGCGCGGTGCCAGGTTCATAGACCCTGAAGGCGAGGGCCGACCCTCCTGTTGGTGTGTTTTGATTCTCTTTCCAGTGCCACAACAGAGTGATATTTAAGCAACTCCTGTAGGCGAAAGCCCTGAAGTTTCTGCAGATCGACAGCTGCAGGCTGGGAAGTGTGAACGAGAACCTCTCGGTGTTGCTGATGGCCAAGAGGTTTGAAAGTAAGGGTGCCATGGGGCCGTGGACCAGGCACCATCTCCCCACACATCACATACCCTGCTTCCCTCTGGAGTTGCCATGCTGACTTTTTCCTAACTCAAGCTTCATCAGGGAATCTTTGATGATTTTCAGTCCTAAATATTAATGATAGTCACCTGCAGACACTAAGAAAAGCCACAGATTCCCCCTTCACACCTCCCCCTCTGCGGTCCTCAGCACTCAGCAGCAGCCTGTCTGCACCTCTAGTTCCTGTGTGCCCGCACGCGGAGGGAGTCGGCCTCTGTGAACTGGTACAGCATCTGATCATGTTTGACTTCATCTCTGTCTCTGCAAGCCTCCAAGACAAGTCAGTGATGCGGCGCTACCGTCAGTACTGCCTCTCGGTCCGACAGGACCCTGGCCACTGGCACATCCTAGGACTCAAAGGCAGTTTGGAGACCCACCACTAAATATGGTCTTCTTTCTTTTAGAGGGTGGTTTCCTGCTGGCTGTTTTCTAGGTACATAAGTTGGGGGAGAAGCAGGAGCGTTGCAACCAAATGCAAACCCGAAACCCAGCTCTTGTTTCTGACTTTCTAAAGCCTCACTTTTATCACATACTGTCTGCCTCTGTCCAGTCTCTTTCCAACTCTGGAGTCTGCATCATCTGGCTGCATCTTTTAGTTCCATCTCATTTCTCAACATGCCCCATATGAGCTTTAAATTAGGACAGTCTCCTTCTAGTCACCTGCATATGGTTTTACTATGCTTTTCTTTCTTCCCAGAATTAAAAATTGTACTTCAGACAGATCACTAGGAGGTAGTGAGAGCATGATGACATGCCTGGGAAAGGTGAACATCAAGTTCAGGGCTGAGAAATGGGACCTGGGAGGGTCTACGGGGACTTCTATAAAACAATGGTTGGTTCTTCAGCTGGGTTTTAATACACCTGAGAGATTTTAAACTCTAAAAACCACCACTCTTAGGGTTTTCTGCCTCCCCCATTTCAGTTCCGCAAAGCAGGACCAAGGAGAGGGGTGGGTTTCGACCAACGTTGAAAGGTCCTGCGGGTTTTGAGGGATGAGAAGGCTGAAGGGTTTGCCTAGAACCATAGGGTATCAGCCACCCCTCAGCTGAGTCTCTCTCTCTCAGTGGAGCTCAGCCCTCTGCCCAGCAGCCCATCTAACTGAAGGCATTGTTTTACTCCAGCCTGACTCCGTCCTCCCAGGATGTGTGAATACGTCGACCACCTGCATGAGCATTTCAAGTATCCTGTGCTGATCAGGGAGGCTTCCTACATGCCTCCAAAGGTGAGCCTGCGGTGCTCCAACCCCCCCCACCAAGCTTCCTCAGGAGGTCTGCTAGCCCTGCCCTACTGTTCTAGAGAGCTAGACCCCCAGGCACAAAGCTTGGTCTCCTCTGAGTCTGTTTTCATTATCTAGAAACAAACGGTTTTTTAGTTAGTCTTGTCTCCAGGCCCAAGGTCAGGGTTTGGGGTGAAATGGCCCCTGACAAGGCTGCTCTCCCGACAGCCTTTCCCCACTAGCTGGACCTGAAAACAGGCACTCCTTGCCCCCCATCCCCTGCAACAAAACTAAAAACCAGGCACCATCTAGCAAGTTAGCAAAAGATTTTGACTGCACCTATTTTTTAAAATCTATCCCAAAATCTACTCCTGTTCAAGAGATCAGGGCTCATTTTCACCAGCAGAGGTGGAACTAACAAAGGAAGTGTGATTAGTTAACAAACCCTGAGAAGTAGCAGGGAACCTCTCCCCCATTTCAAACAACCTGCAAACTTACTTTTAAAAATCTTAATTCAGCCAGTTGCCTCTGACTGAGACTTAAAAGCATTTCTTAGAGCAGCAGAAATAAGTAAAATAAATGACTTTTGTTCTGGGAGGTTACTAACAACTCCATTTTTGTCTTTGATAGGATGCTGGTTATTCAACAGAAATGAAGGAGGACTCGGTAAAGAGACACCGCTATCCAGATGGTGAAGTCTGGAAGAAGCTCCTAACTGCTCAAGGGAATTAAGCGCTCAGCTCTGATATGTTTTGCTTTAAGTGAAAAGGCTTAAGATTTCTTGGGTCTGGTTTTACAAAAATAGAAGAAAAAAAAAATCATCCTACCAATCAAGACAAGTTCAGCTAAAAAGTCATACTAACCTCAGGGATCAGCTTAGTCATCATTATTACTTGATTCTTTTAGCAGAAAAAATTCTGTGTAGTATTTAAACAAAAATAGCTCCAATTAATTCAAAGTACAGGAAGATGTTCTTAAATTTTCCATCACACGTGTTACCTAGACATTGAGTTGTACTTTGAAAACAAGCAGCATGCTGGAATACTTCCTTAATCTTTTTAAAAACACACTTGTCATAAATTAGTGTAATACAAACAGTGCCGCAGCACTGTGCAATATCTGCTCTGCAACAAAAGTTAAAGACATCACTGACAGCCCTGAGGTGGTTTAGCATCTTTCTCTTGCTCATTAGAGCCTATTGGAGAATTCACACTGTGCTGAAGCTAATGAGCGTAAAATGGTATCAGGCTGTTTTTATAACCCTTAAAGCCTTTATTCTAGATAATCATTGTTTTTTAATGATAAAGAAAGCCAGAATTAGATGAAACACAGAAAAAATAGGGTGAACTAGAGCTTAGTCAGCATTTCTAAAATATACCCTATCTAAGCCACATCCAAACCAGAACACACAGCACATGTATGTGTGTTTATTTAGGAGGGTTCAGTTAATCTACTTTAGGCAGGAACTACACAGATAAATGATAATACAGAGTTTTAAAAAACATGAATGCAGAACATTTATTGTAGCAAAATAAAACTTTAAACATTCATAACCACACTAAGAATTAACATGACTGATGGATGTTACCCAGCTTGTTCAGATTTGGGGAAATAGTTCTATATTATTACTATGAGAACAGCACAGCTCTTAGTTGCCAGTGGCAACATTCTTAAAAGTTAATGGATAAAAACCAGTAGATCACTAACAGGCTTTGACCTAGATCCTTCGCATTTGGAGCCAAGTGAACTTTTACCTAGGTGTAAATATCCTTCAAACAACGCCTTTAAAAGCACTCTAGACAGCCATTTCCATTTTAATAGTTGGGTGAGGATTGTAGCCTTCAATCTGAAAGTCTTCAGCCTTGAAGTCATCGATTTTCTCAACTTTTCGAAGGATTCTGAGCTTGGGGAAAGGCCTTGGTTCTCGCTGAAGCTAAAAATAACATAAGACCATTATTTTACCAGATCCATATGCCCTGCTTTAATTTTTGCTCCCCATGTCCCCCCAGTATTTTGCCAGGAAAGTATTATTTTGCAGGGGTGACATACTGAAGATACCTCGTCCCTCGTTACTCAGAGCTGCTGACCCATTCTCTCACCCCCGTGGAGAGTGAAGGGTGATCAGTGGATCACATCAGGTCAGGAGCCTTGGTGGTTCACTGGCTTTAAGTTCTTAAAAACAGGGCAGGGTTTTTTACTTTAACAAATTTAAGAAGTAGTTACAGGACGTTTCCTTGAGTCCCATGATGCCTAGCCCAACTGTCCCTGGCAGAAAGGACAAGGAAAGAGGACATGTGTTGACAGCGAACAGGGATGAAGCCAGGACTCCTGGGCCGGACACACAGCAGCAATGGACGTGGACACAGGGCATGCCCCCCTCCTCCGTCAGCACAACCGCAGTGTCCGGATGAACCCTGGGGTCACGTTCTCCCAGATCTAACCAGAAGGGGATAAAAGGTTTCCCGTTCAAGTTTTTTTCCTTTGGAGTTCATTAAGCACAGACACTCCTTTTTTCAAATTGCCACTTAAATCACCCTTTGCTGAAAATAAACTGGCTTAAAGACTTAATAAGACACAACACCATAAAACTCCTAGAAGAGAACACAGGTAAAATATTCTGTTATAAATCATACCAACGTTTTCTTATGTCAGTCTCCCAAAGCAATAGAAATAAAAATAAAGGGGACCTAATCTAACTTACACGCTTTTGCACAGATTGTAAAATGTGCAAAAGGAAACCATAAACAAAACTAAAAGACAATCTACAGAAAATATTTGTAAACAATGCAACTGACAATGGCTTAATTTCCAAAATATACAAACAGCTCTGTAATACACTCAACAAGAAAAACCCAATTTCAAAATGGGCAGATGACCTAGAGAGACAGCTCTCTAAAGATACAGAGATGGCCCACAGGCACATGAAACTATTCAACATCAATAATTAGAGAAATGCAAATAAAAGCCACAATTAGGTACCACCTCACACCTGTCAAAATGGCCATCATTTAAAAGTATAACAAATGCTGGAGAGGGTGTGGAGAAAAGGGAATCTTTCTAGACTATTGGTGGGAATGTAAACAGATGCAGCCACTGATGAAAACAGTATGAAAAGTTCCTCAGGAAACCAAAAATAGAATTACCATATGACCCAGCAATTCTACTCCTGGGCATATATCTAGACAAAACTATAATTCAAGGATACATGCACCCCTGTATTCACAGCAGCACTATTCACAATAGCCAAGACAAGGCAACAACCTAAACATCCACTGACGAATGGATAAAGATCAGGTTTGTGTATGTGTACATATCTGCACACACGTATATATACAGATTTATATATACACACACACATGTACATACAGAACTGAATACTACTCAGCCATAAAAAAGAATGAAATGCCATTAGCAGCTACATGGATTGACCCAGAGATCATACTAAGCAAAGTCAGAAGGACAAATACCATATGATGTCACTTAAGTGAGGGATCTAACATATGATACAAATGAACCTATCCCTGAAACAGAAACAGGGTCATGGACAGAGAACAGAATGGTGGCTGCCAAGGGGAAGGGGAGTGGGGGGCTGGGATTAGCAGGTACAAACTGGTTTAGATTAAATGGGTAAACAAGGACCTACTGATTCACACAGGAACTAGATTCAGTATCCTAGGACACACCATAATGGGCAAGAATATATACACATGCAGTACCTCACAGCACCTGTCACGTTCAGTGTCTGTGGCCACTGAGGCCCATCTGCCTGGTCCCTGCCTGTCCACCACCACCCACAAACCTGGAAGCCTGTCCTCTTAGCTCCATCAGAGCCTGGAGGAGAACATCTTTTACAGGAGGGATGCCTCCCACATGGACAAGGTCTCAAGAGAAGGTATCAAACCCCGAAGTATGACAGGTACATTTCTTACCTGAGTTTTCAGCGGCTCGATGTGATTCAGGTAAACGTGTGCATCTCCCAGAGTGTGTACAAAGTCACCTGGCTAAACCCCACAGAAGAAAGTGAAACTGTTAAGGCTTTATTTTAGTTTGAGTTCCTTTGCAACACATCATGTAAAAACACATGAGCAGGCAGACAGCCCAGAGCCCTTCACAAGGAAATTTAACCAGTGTCGCTTTTGAGGAAAGTTGATCCAAAGTCATAACAACCTATCCAATCCCACACGTTTATACAGAGCAATGACAGAACTGCTCCAAGGAAGTCAGAGTGAGCAGCTCATTCATTTACACCGATCACATCTAAAAACTACAAAGAGCCAGAATTCTCAGCCATCAGTTCTCCCACGTGACAGGACCTCACAGCCCAGCGTTCTAGGTTGGTCCCCCCTCCACCCCACCCAGAGCAGCCCACCTTCAGGTCCGTGATGTGTGCGATCATGTAGGTGAGCAGGGCATAGCTGGCGATGTTGAAGGGCACACCCAGGCCCATGTCTCCCGACCGTTGGTACAACTGGCAGGACAGCTCCCCATTCACCACGTAGAACTGGCAGAGGGCGTGGCACGGGGGGAGGGCCATGAGAGGGAGATCTGAGGGGCCAACACGGGAAAGTCAGGAGAGAAGGCGGTTTTTAAGGAACACAGCTCTAAGCAAAGCAAAAAGCAGCAGAAGCCAGCTGTTACAGCAGAGATGGTGAGACAAGCCACTGGACCAGCGACCCCCACGAACCATTCCCACCCCAGGGATGGCATAAGACCGACAGAGACCTGTCCATCACCGTGAGGCCTCTGTGGGTGCGCACTGACTGTTAAGGCCACCCGTTCTCATCCGAGCTGAAATGAATCACTTGGGCCACCTCCATGGCACCAAGCCAGAAGTACAGGGGGAATGAATTCATTTGCAGGGACCATGAGAGACTGGCGACTCAGGCACACCCTCCTGTACTCAAATTGCTATCATTAATGCAAAAATTCCACTCAGGCGATTTACTACACCTCGAGAGAGCTTAGTTTTACAATTGTTTAAAAGGTTCATAATAGGTGGAGGTGATCTAAAATTCCAACTGTCCCAATTTAAAATGTTAAATTTTCATGTGTATTTTTATAATTAAAGCCCGTAAACACAAATTAATTTCATCTGGGCCCAAGCTTGCTCTCTGAAGGTAGGTAAAAATGGGGCCACTTGGGACATGGCCAGGGTCACACGAGCAGCTGTGCAGCCGGGGACTGTTCCCAGGACCACCTCCAACCCGGTGCCTCTGCTCAAGGCTCAGTTAGGACACGGGAGGATGGCTGGGGCGCCGTCTACCTTTTGGATTCCAAGCACACAGGATGATTCTTCTGTCGTTAGGGTTGGTTTTGATTGTGTCGATCACTTTTTGCAGTTGATCTACTCCTTGACCTGAATAATCTGCAGAATTGGCAAAAACAAGAGACCACCACACATGTGAACCATGGCATCCTGGGAGAGGGCCCCAGGTCACCGAGCACACTGTCCTCCCCCAGGGCCCCCGGCCCAGTCACACGATAGCCAGTGAACAGTACTGAGGTCTCACATTTTGCTGGGTTATGTTGAGTCTGGGCTCCTAGGTCTGTCCTCTGGAGCCGGAAGAAGTCTATTTTCCCACTACTTAAGAGACTTTTAAATACTTGGCCATGGTGTCCCTCCTCCCCCTTCCCCTATCGCTAAACCTCCTTCATCCTCAACAATCAGTTTTTTCCAGCGGTCCCCCCGGGGTATCGTGTCTGTACCATCAACTATTCTTGTCCCACTTCACTGCCAGGCAGGGCTGGGTCTGCGGTAGAATATTTCCTACCCTACATGGTCCAACAACAGACGATGAGGATTCCTTTTTGTCATCTAGATACTAGCTTTCCAACACTCCCAATGAAAACTACAATTTAACAGCTAAACAGCTACTGACCTGTAAACATCAGGAAACCTATTATATACCACCCTGTACTTTCCTCCCACGTCTGGTCTCTGAACTCTCCTCCTTCTGGAGTGAACTGGAAGCTGAGATGTGCAAAGCCTCCCACCTCTATGATTAAACATCTACTTGCTGGAGTCAGACTACGTTTGAGTCCAGGAGTTCTGAATTTGGGGGAAGAAAGCCCTGTCACTATCACAGTTCCAGAAGAGATTTAAAAAGATGACCTCTAATGGAACAGTTCTGTATCTTGATTGTGCTGATGGCTACATAAATCTCCAGGGGCTGAAACTGCACACAAATTTGCAAAGGTGGAGAGATCTGTTAAGTGCTGTGGGTTTTACCAACATTAATTTATGTGAGAGGCGGTGCCACCAAGTGACAGAGGAGGGTGGGCGTCCAGGAGTGAGATGTTTTGTCTCCACCCCAGCAGGGTGGGGAGGAGAGGGCGACGAAGACGGGTGCTGTCACATTAGCACCACCGGCAGCTTGCTGGGTGGTTCGGTCTTGAAAAGGGAGATCAAGGTGACCACAGGGCAGTCAGTCCCTGGGACTCATCCCAGATGAACTTCCAACCTGCCTCCAACACAGCGACCGAGCACCCACCAGGTCACTGTCTGCTGATTAACAAGGTACGGAAGGTGCCCAGACCCACAAGTGCTGACCACCTGGTGTGTGACCCTCCCCTCCCCCTGGATCCAAAGCAGCCCCTCACAAGGTCCAAGTTATGTATCCACTTCCCCATCATCAGCTTCCTATCCCCCGGGATTCACTTGCAGCCACAGAGAAAACCCAGGCTGTGAGAGGCACTCAGGAAACACAAGCCCCCACCGCCCCCCCAGCTCCTCACCTGAATCCATATCTTTGTATTCAGCCCCAAAATGCCTCCACTGGAAGCCATACACTGGGCCTAAGTCCCCTTCAGCTCTGCTGGAGAAGCCCAGGCTGTCAAGGAAGTCTCGGGACCCGTTGGCATCCCAAATTTTCACTCCCTTGGAAGACAGTTCCTTAGCGTTGGTGGATCCCTGTAAGAGACGCGGCATCGGGTGAATGCCAAGCCCACCACAAGTGGGCCTGTGCTGACAGACGGGGGCAGCACCTGACGGGCCCCATCACTAGGCAGGCTGGTCCCAGCCCAGACTTTCCAAAGACCCCCGTAGAGTCTGATCCTTCTTTGCAATCACTCCCTCAAATCTTTTTTCCTATTCTCCTCAACCAAGACTTCTAAACACCTCCAAGTCCTTTCATTGCTCCCATCTAACCGTTCTGTTTCTTAACTAAATGTGTCCTGTGACTAAGTGTGACACCCCAGAATGAATCTACTCCACAACTGCAATGTGTTTGGTGTATCTTAGACCTGTTATATAGGATGTTTCCACAGATAGGCCTGATCAGTATTAGCTTTCCTGTCAAATATGTCAGTCATATATCTTTACAAGTACCACTATCAGGTTATGTTTATCAACAACCTGTACTTGCAAAGTTAAGGTGTGGGTTCTTGGCGGGTTTTTGTTTTTTTCTTGGTGCCAAGTATAAGCTTTATATTCCTCTTATGTATTTCATCTCATTAGAGTTGGCCCACGTATCCTGATGGTGCATCCAGGTCAAGACCCCATTTGGCCTTTGGGTAGGATGTGCTGTAATGGTTACAAGCAGGCAGTGAGGCCACACACCTGGGCACTAGGCCTGCTGTCTCCTCGCTTCTCCTCTGACCAGCTCCCTGACCCCTCCAGCCTCAGTATCTGCACCCAAGAAAGAGCATAGTAGCAATCACCACCCACATTACTGGGAGGAGAAGATAATACAAGCAAACGCTTGGCACTCAACAGATACGAACCAAGGCACAGACTGTACCTCCCCATCTTGCCCGAAGACCCCAGCTGAAGTGTAGGTACACTGACTCCTCTCCCTTGAGTCATCTGTGGAGTGACTATCAGAGGCGGGTCTGCTGTCTTCCTGGTGAGGACTCACTGGAATCCCGCACTCCAGCTTTACGATCAAACAAGTGCATGACCTCTATTTCTGAGCATCTCAGTTCCTCCCTTTCTGTCGTTGAGTTTATATTAATTATTTTCACTTCCAATGACTCATTTCTTGATCACTCATGTTGCTTCAAAAGTCTCCCTCCCCATCCATTCAGCCTGGGCTCTAGCTTGTCTGCAAACATCCTCTCCTGAGATCTGTATCCAAACCTAAACCTTTCCAAAAGTGCGTTGAGGTCTTGGGTCTGCTTTGGCCCAAGACAATACAAGCCACAGAAGGAAGCCCAACCTCGAGCCCAGCCCAGAAGAGAGCCCATCTCTTCAGGCACCCTGTGAGCAGTGTTGGCCAGAGTCTCAGACCAGTGAGATAAAGGGGGGATAAAGATGAGATGAAGGGGAAACCCAGGTGTGGCTGCTGCCCATCATCACCACGCTCAGCTTATTACTCAAGAGCCTCTTCTGGCTTATCCCCCAGGAGAGCATGGCTGGGATCTATATTCAGTGGGCAATCTCTGTGAGTGCCTACTATGTGGCAGGCCGTGTTCCAGGGGACACAACAGCAGACAAGAGAAATTCTCTGCCCTCATGGAGCTTATAGTACTTTCCTAATGTCAAAAAATTTTTATTTAAAATAAAAATTTTCTAAATGATAGTATTTTATTCATTTGTCTGCCTTCTCCCTTGAAGGGGTCAAAGGGGGAAGACCTTATACATAAAATGAGGCTTCTCCAGAGAAAACACAAAGGAGGGGTGGGGGTAATCACAGTTTTAGATCGGAGGCAGGGAAAACTCACTGAGTAGAGAGTTGAAGGTGAGGGTGCTACATGGGGGTGGGGATTCCAGGGAGCAGGAGCGGTGAGTACCCAGCCCCAAATGGGGATGTCCTGGTGTGCCTAAAAATCAGCAAGGAGGCCAGGGTGAGAGGAGCAGAACAAGCGTTGACTCTGGCTGAGGCCAGAGCGGAGATAGAACTGTAAGGACCTTGAATAAAACAGGAGCCACTAAGGACTTTAGGCCAAGGCGTGACATGATGCGCTTTTAAAAGGATTTTGCTGGTGCCGTACTGACAACAGATTATTGACTTCCAATAGCAGCAACTTCTTTACCTTGATAAACCACAGCAACTCCTCCAAAACACCTTTCCAGAAAACACGTTTGGTTGTCAGCAGAGGAAATTCATCTGGAAAACAGTTTGTCATGTAATTTCAAGATGAGAAGACAGAACATGCCATCCAACTTTTTCTGTAAAAAGAGAGGACATGCCCCAGGACAGAAGGCCTGGGAAGTGACTGCAGGGGAGCTGGAAACCTGTGACTTCTGCCACGTGGGCACCTCCGGATCAGAGCGGGGATCCCAAGGCTGCAGCCCCAAGTCAGTGACACACTTCAGGTGAGATCACCCTCCTGCGCCCCTTGACCACCAGACACAGGACTGTCACACAGAGAGATGGGGCGGGGGCCGGGCCGGGAGGCCCATGTGGACAGGGAAAGAGCCAGCAGCCACTACCCAGTCAGTGCGAGCCCTTCCCAGAGGTGTGAAGACAACACACAGAATGTGCCCTAGGACATAGCCCGAAGGCTGCTATTCTGCAATTATCCTGCCAGGGAGAACGGGCTCACCACCAGGTAACAGTAGATACTGCCCTGCCTAAAAGTGAATAGTTCTTAAATATGTGCAAAGAAAATTAACCTTTATTTATATATTTTAAAAACTTTCCTGTTTCCTTTTTGAACTTTTCATTTTGTATCAGGGTATAGCCAACGAACAATGTTGTGATAGTTGTTTCAGATGAACAGCAAAGGGATTCAGACATACACATGTCCATTCTCCCCAAGCTTCCCTCACATCCAGGCTGCTCCGTAACATATAACAGATCCTTGTTGGTTATCCATTTTATAGATTTATCTTTGACCACACCGAGAGGCACGCGGGGCATCCTAGTTCCCCCTATAACGGCTGAACCCATGCCCCCTGCAGTGTATGGTGTCTTAAACACTGAGCCCCAGGGTTATTTTTTAACTCAACTAAAAATAGTTAACTGCTTAAACACCTGATATACACAATCCTATCTGATCCTCAATACAATCCTGCTTGAGGCTCCATTATGATCTCCATTTTACAGGCACCACGAGGTGGTAAGTCTGCATCAAACAGCTGAGAAAAATGTAAAAGCTTATCTCTAAATTCAGTACCTATTCAGCCGACTGTCCAGGTGATAGTCATGTAAGAAGGGCAGAGTCTTCAAGCACCTACATTGCCTCCATTTGGGGGATCATTTCCTCCATTTGGAGCACATGGGGAAGCTGAAGATGGGCGAAGATAACCAACAGTGCCCAAGTCTAAGCAGAGAGGCTGGAGTGGAAATGATGTCTGTGGCTCATGGGAGGCCACCGTGCAGGAGCTGCAGGAAGGAGGATCCCTCTACTCAAAATAAAACTCCCCAAGCTGTCCAAGCCCATCTGGTCACTGCAGCTCTGGATTTTTCAGTCTCTGCAATGGGTGTGTGGCAGAGGGTTTCTACCCTGACTTGGGTGCACCTCTTCAACAGCTGGCTCCCCACTCACAACCTGTTTCACGGACCTTTGTCTGAGGCCAACCCCGATCCCACCTCTTTGTCCCCTGAGAGCCTGGCACTAACAACTTCCAAGACACATTTCTCCCCAGGAAAGTGAAAGTCGCTCAGTCGTGTCCAACTCTTTGAGACCCCATGGACTATATATACTATGGTCCATGGAATTCTCCAGGCCAGAATACAGGACTGGGTAACCGTTCCTTTCTCCAGGGGATCTTTCCAACCCAGGGATCGAACCCAGGGCTCCTGCACTGCAGGCGAATTCTTCACCAGCTGAGCCACCAGCGAAGCAAATAAGGAATTCCCTGGAGGTCCAGTGGTTAGGACTCTCGCTGCTGTGGCCCAGGTTCTAAGAACTCGCAAGCCTTGTGGCACGGTACCCCCCCGCACCGCCCCCCCCAAATTAATACGAACTCCTTGGATTCTCGCGTTTCTGCTTCAAGATTAGGGAGGAAAGCTGGCTCGCTGGCCCAGATGGGAGGACTGTCACGAGCCCCAAGTTCCTGCCCCTGCTTCCCAGCGGTCTCTTCCCGCCGAGGCCCCGTCCACGTCATCTGGGCTCCAATTTTTAAAAACAAAGCGGAACAGTCAGCGCGGAGGGAAGAGGAGTGGCGGGAAAGGAGCCCTGCAGTCAATGCCTCGGTCAAGCCCGGGCAGATCCTCTCCCACCCTCTAGTCTAGGGCTAGCGCTGCAGAGCCAAGCCCGCTTAGGGGAGACAGCATAACGGGGTGATTAAGAGCCAGAGGTCCTGCTTTTACCTCCCAGCTCTGCCGTCCCGTCCGTGTGACCTTATGCAAGTTCACGTCTCGAGTCCGAGCCAGTTTCGGCGTCTGTAAAGTGGGCCCAAAGCCACTCCCCTTACTCACGCTGCAGAGGTTAGGGCTAAACGCCCGCCGCCGCGCCCGGCCTGTCCGCAGCGCTCTGCCTACCGCAGCTCCGCACGCACCGGGCCCGCCCGCCCCCGTGACGCGGCCGTCTCACCTCTCAGGTTGTACCGCGCCTGCATCCCGAACACCGACAGGGTGCCGGTGCCGGTGCGGTCATCCTTCCGGAAACCGCAGCGGAGGATGTGCTCGATCTGCCCCAGGTACTGCAGCTCCCCGTGCGGCGGCGGCGGCCGCGACTCGGCGCCCTGCTCCTGCGCGGCGGGCGGCGACGGCGGGCGTGGCGGCTCGGAGCCGGCGGCTGGCATAGTTCTGGCCGCTGGCGCTGCGGCGAGGGCCGGACGGCGGCAGGCACGGCCTCCCTGCGCTATCCTGGAGTGTATTTTCCCGCCACAGCGGAAGACTCCGCCCCTTCCGGTGACGCTTCAGTGGCGTAGGCCCCACCCGATCCCGCGAGAAACCGCTCGTCGTGTCCCGAGAGCTCAAGGGGCCTCGGGATAAGAATGCTCTCGCTTTCTTCAATAGCTTGTATTCCATGTTAAAAGTGAAACCGTTTGGCCTAGAAAGAAATTCTAAAGCTGTTATCTTGGAGTGATGCCTGAGAAAAGCCACTCTCGTTGGAAAGACTCGGGGTCGACCGCGCCTTTACGTGGTCAAAGGAAGCCTGGAACAATTTCCACGTGTTCGTGAAATCGAAAACCAAAACCCTATTTGAGATGTTTCCTACAACTGAGAGGGACTCCTGCAAGTGATTTGCATTTCTGTTTTCCCGCATCCTCACTCAAGGCCAGCAGCTGGAGCAAATGGATTAAGGCAGCTTTTTAACTTAATGACAGTTTTGCATACTAAATTTTTCAATATTAGTGAAAATGTTTATAATATAAACACTGATGGGTATAAAATATTTAATAATGCGTTTAAAAGGTACTAATACATATACATGCAACAGCAGTCTTGAGTCAACTGTGTCCTGAGGGTATAGTAGATGCTCAGTAAATTTCTTGTTGCTGCATCTGGGGTTAGGAAGAATGAGATGTGGGCTCTGTATGAAACATGCTAAACACTATTTCTTTCCATTCAGTAAAGTCGGTGGTTTTTCTTTTTTCTTCCTCTTCCTATCTCAGTTTTATTGATGGACAGTAGAAATAGACAAGCAAGATTATTGAATCTTTCTGCTATAGGGCACTTCTCAAACTCAAATTTTTTGTAAGAGGAAAACATTCTGGGAAGACTAATATTTTTCACCTGCAGGTCTGCCTAATCTGCTCAACAAAAACAGTGTTGCACTTTTTTTTTGTTTTTTTCCTTTGGTCTGTGCCTCTGGCTTGAGATCTCAGTTCCTCAACCAGGGTAGGAAGCTGCCACAGCAATAAAAGCCTGGAAACCTAACCACTAAGCCTCTAGGGGACTCCCAGCATTTGTGTCTTTACAGGGCACAAAACCTATATAAAATAAATACAATCCTGAAGACAGTTTACAAAATAGCTGGCCATTTGGGTTAATCAGAGGGAAAAGCAAGCACTAAGACTAGACTAAGGGAGTTTCAGGGAACATTTCGGGAGCCTCAGATTTGGAATATTCTTGCTTGTTTGGTTTGTATGATTGCTCACAAAGGGTAAACTGTAACGCACAGGGAGCAGCTGTTTTAAATAATTTAATCTATTAAATCTACTTAATCCATCACCTGCTAGGCTGGCTTTTCCTCTGTCAACTAAATTCATTCTTCCTCCCTCGCCCCAGCACCTTCCCCATCCCACCCTGCCACGCCCACTCAGTGTAACCATAGTATTAAAGTCACCTGTAACTGCTTTGGGGCTGATGGTCCTGGGTTGTGCTGTTCGGATGGGATGGATGTGGTTGTGCCATCCCCAGATACCATGGGCTTTCTTTCTGATGGTCATTTGGGAAGAGAAGGCTCTGTTGAAAACTTAATCTCAGAAAACAGGCTTCAGACAGGGACAGGGACTCATGTTGTCTGCCTTAGCTTGAAAGCGCCCCTTGGCGTTAGAAGCTAACATGAGGTGCAAAGGCACAGTCTTCCAGCAAGAGATGGTCCTTCTTGTCAATTAATGCAGGACTGTTGATACTGGTGGGGGGCCAACTAAAGGCAGGCATTCTCCCCACCCCACACTGACCCAAAATGTCTCCATACACTTCCAACCATGTTCAGACAGGAAATCTCACAGACTGTCTGGTTGCAGTTACTCTTATGTGTTTACTTCCTTTCTGTTATTTTGAGCTGTTTAGTTGCTCCCTGGAGAAGGGCACGGCAACCCGCTCCAGTATTCTTGCCTGGAGAAGCCCATGGACAGAGGAGCCTGGTGGGCTACAGTCCATGGGGTCACAAAGGGTTAAACACGACTGAGGGACTAAACTTTAGTTGCTAGAATGGAATGTCATTTACACCGCAGGGTGAATCTCAGGATACAAGCTTAGACACCCCGGCCGCAAGGAGGTTCCTCTTCCATTGAGTTGCTCGGAGGATCTTTGTTTGATGATAACTTTACTGTTATCTGATTATCTAACTTTACTGTTAGCCTGATTTCTTTACTGGTGGCTGCTCCACAAATGAGTGATCCTCTCATACAAGCAGATCATTCTTTCATCCAACAGCATTTATAGCACAGTGCCTCCCAGGTATCTCCAAGACAGACAAATTTCCTGGCACAAGAACTGACACCCTAGCCCAGAGGAGCAATGGGAAGCCCCTGAACAAGACGCCTGCAGAGAGTGACGGATGCGATTGTATAACCGGGCTCAGAAGGACTACTTTTGATCCCACCATCAGGAGAGGTCTCCTTGAGGAGGGTCACATTTGAGCTGAGACCTGAAAACTGAAACGAAACCAGCAGGGGAAGATCTGGGGAGAGAACAGTTCAACTTTAAATGCATTATACCCTCAGCTTTACTCAGCGCTTGCATCTATAAAAACACAAAACAAGGATGATAGCGATGCTGAATCCTATCTCATTCTTGGAAGAAATAATCATTATTAATAGATCCATTAACTTACTGGGAGAAAAAAAGCTCTTCTCATCAAGGGATCTATTTCTCTTAAAAATTTCACTGTGTTTAATAGACATAGAAATGTGTAATGTTTATTTTGATCAATTATGTACATTATAAATTATATGTATATATAACTCAATCCAGAATGAATATTTGATACCTAGATTTTTGTGTCCCAGGACATTTTAAAATATTTTCAAATTTTAAAAATATTTACCTTGTATTGATCAATAAAGTTGTTTAAGCATAAACATATATTACATTAGAATAAAATTCTCTGAATAAAATAGAGAGAAAATGAGAGTTTAAGGAGAAAATGAAATGAGATAAAATTTCTTACTGTTAAAGAAAAACTTGTATATTTGTTTAAATGCATGATTCTGGGTATCAAATTGCCATGATTTATAGATTCCATTGGGCACATTTAAAAGAAGGATGAGTTTTATTTTTAAGATGCTAATATTTATAATACATGGGAAAAGTAAAATTTCCTATTCTTTCAACTTTTACTGAAAAATTATGTGATGCAGCATATATATATATTTCAGGTTCCTTTTAGGGTATATGAGAGCAAGAACATTTGAATATTATTGACCTGGATACTGGTTCTTCTTTGTAGGGTAAACTCTCAAAAATGTTGGCACAACTAGACAAAGGAAAGTAGAAAACTTAAATTTTTAAAAGCCAACTATGAATCAGGTATTAAGTAATAATAGTATTCCTGGTGGCTCAGATGGTAAAGAATCTGCCTGCAATGTGGAAGACCCAGGTTCAATCCCTAGGTCAGGAAGACCTCCTGGAGAAGAGCACGGCAACTCACTCCAGTATTCTTGCCTGGAGAATTCCATGGACAGAGGAGCCTGGCGGGCTACAGTCTGTGGGGCTGCAAAGAGTCAAATAAAACTTAGTGACTTAGTCACCACCACCGCCACCAACTGATGCTTATTATTATGACTCATTGTAGTTCTCTGGACTACCCAATAAAGAAAAAACTTTATGGTTATCATTTCATAGATAAAACCACTGAGGTTTAGAGAGACTAAGGGTCTTGCCAAGTCAAACACCTAGAAAATCTGGCAGCCAGGATTAAAATCCAGGTCAGCCTGCACGCAAAGGCTTTCTCTGACAGCTGCAGTGAGTCCAGTATTCCCCTTTCCTTTCTTCACTCTGCAAATTTTTGATAAACATTGGCTATAAAATAGTCAGATTCCCTTTGTAACTTGTTTTTTTGGCACCTTTTTTGACAAATATATCAAATATATGACTGAATAGACTCTATTTACTTGAGATTTACTATACATTAAGCTATCCAGAGTTCTATCAATAGTATACTTTCTTCTATAGCCTTCAGATATAAGAAGAGCTTTACCTTCATTTGAAATTGACTATGTTCAATGGGCTGCCTTTGAACTTTAAGTCTACCTGACGAGACTTCCTACCAAATACCTCAAGACTGGGTGAGAAAAAAAATGTTCTAAAGGTTTTGAGTCCTCTCTTTAAATATATTGCTCTCTATAATTTGAAGGACTGACTATATATAGTCTATGTATAGAGTGACTGACTTTATATATCCCCGGGGTAATCCCTGGTGACACATGCTGACAAATGAACCTCTTCTCATATTGCACCAAGGTCCAGATTCTGAGGTTAAGTAAGTGTCAGCCAAAAACTGTGTTTTACATACAGTATGTATGGCCTTGTTAAAAGACAGCACTGTTCTGTTAATTTTTAAAAGAATCTAAACAGTACACCCACATGCATGGCAGCACTCTTCACATTGGGCCAAGAGAGGGAAGCCACCCAAAAGTCCATCTCCGGATGAATGGATAAACAAAATGTGAAACACGGTGTATAACAGAGTAGTATTCAGCCTTAAAGAGGAAAGAAATTCCAGCACATGCAACCAGATGGGTTCAACCTTGGAGACATTAACGCTAAGTGAAATGAGCTAGTTGCAAAAGGACAAATACTGTATGATTCTACTTCATGGAATCATACCTAGATTGTCAGATTCATAGAGACAGAATGGTGGTTGTCAGGGTCTGGGGAATGCAGTGTTTAATGGGGACAGAGTTTCAGTTTGGGAAGATGAAAAAAGTCCAGGAAATGGATGATGGTGATGGCTGCACAACAATATGAATTTCCTTAATGCCACTGAACTGTGCACTTAAAAATGATTCAAATAGTAAATTTTGTTATGCATATTTTACCATAAAAAACTATAGAGAAGCTATAGATCTTTACTAAACAAAGGAATAAATTACAGATTTTCTCAATAAGTCAAATATTATATATTGTAAACTCAAAAGCAAATTGAAAGAAAAATTCTCTGTTAATTAGAAAGTGACATATTTGTAGTAGAAGTGATAGAACACAGACGCCCTGGTGATTTAATATTTAATATACAAACTGAATATATCATAAAATACAGTGATATTTACATTTGATTTTCTAAAAAAGGAATGTTCACTTTTAACTCAATTTGAATAGCTATTAAACTGCCATTCAGTATAAGAAAATTAACAGTACTGTACAGTATGTATGGGCTTCCCTGGTGGCTCAGATGGTAAAGAATCTGCATAAGTGACACATTTTCCTGCAATTGCATTTACTTCATTATCTTATGTATTTTGAGATTTTCAGGTCTCAGCTGAAGAGGTAATTCTGTTTGCTGTGTATAGGATGGATCAGTTTTTACCTTTACAAAAAGCATCAATAATCAAAATATTAATAAATTACTTAGAGACAGAGGGCATTTTTTCCTTTGAAATAAAGTCTAGGATGAGTAACAGAATAAATACTCCTGGCTTTTGAAAAAATTAACACATAGCAAAATAACAGAAAACTCATCTGTATGGATGTGTTTAATAATACTACTCAAAGGGATCTTCTCAGTTGCCCTGGCTCATGAAACCTCTACAGAGGCCCTTGTCTCTGATGTGAAGATAAAGCACTCCTTCTGGAGTGCATTCTGCATGCACATAGTATTTGTTCAGTAAACTTCTGTTGTTTATGGCACACTACTTTATTCAATGCATTTCCTATGAGTGCCTTTCATTCTGATAATTACGGTAAGAACCAATTCCCAAGCACTTATTAGATACTTGGGGCATGCAAGACATTCTGTTACAGCCTGTTGTTGTGGATCCTGGCCACGGGAAAGTTTGGAATAGGGAGATAAACACATCACAAACCAATCAATAAAGTTAGGCACTTAGGGTACTAGATGAGTAGATGAGAATTCCAGGAGGGGATTCTTAATATATGTTCTAACCTATAAAATTGGTATTCATGTTTTAATAAGCTACATTCCTGGAGTAAGGACCTCACAAGTATTCACAGATTTGAAAGGAAATGACAGGGTATTTCTTTTCCTCCATCTTTGCTGTTACTTTCCTTAGTATGTTGCTCTTTCAACTGATGGCAGGTTTGAGACCTTGATGTGTTGATCCAATCAGAACACTGACAAAAACCTACCCACTGCCTTGACTAGGATGCACAAAAGAAATTCAACAAGTAAGCAAATTTTAAAAGATGTCTGTTTTCACAAATAATCAAAAACATAAATTCGTAATAGTAAAAAATTTCATTTATTAGTGAAGTTTTTAAATCAAAACACTAGTTAGGATATGAGAAAGTATTAATAGGACTTTAGACATTGCTGCTATCAAACTTGGCAATATGTCTCAATCAAATGTGAACCTTTAAGCAAAAAATTCTGTTTCCTGGAATCTATCTAAGAAGATAAGTAGGAAATGTGAATAAAAAATAAGCAAGCAGTTTTGTGAAGTCTGGGGATTGTGGATATATTTTGTCTTCTAAATGTTTGGAATTTGTGATTGTTACTTTTAGAATTAAAAAAATTTAAAAAATAATATTGCCTTTGCAAAAGATCACTCTGTGAGCCTTAATAAATAATTTGTTCACTATCTCGATTTTTCAACATATTTCCAATATCACTGCAGCCGCTTCATTCCAAAATCTGGGGAATAATTTAATTGGAAATATTTTTATTATTCAGTCAGAAATAAATTGTCAATCCCATTTGAGTACAAACATGTTCATTCCTCAAAATCCTGCAGAGTCTCACTGTGGCCTACAGAGTTGAAGCCCCAGGCACGGCTGCCCAGCTTATCCACTCATTTTGTGAGGCACACGGTATCCTTGCTGTCTTTTAATTGAGCTGGTCTTGGTTGCTTACAACCGAAGAAAGAACTCAAACTCATACGGGGGAGGTTTCTGGACAGAGGGAGGTGGCAAACGGCCCTCGTGGGAGGAAACCAGTTTAATAGGACTTCTCAAGGTCCCCAGTATCTAAGCACTCTGGTCTTTCTGGCTCCATTTGCTCACATTTTCCTCTAATTGAGGAATCTTTGGGGGAATATTTTCACCTTTATGTGTATTTTTTATTTATTTCATTTTTTGGCTGTACCACACAGCAGCCAACCAGTGATCAAACTCGCATCTCTTGCGTTGGAAGAGTGGTGTCTCAACCATTGGACCACCAGGGACATCTCATCTTTATATTTTGATCACATGATCATATATACATGATCAAACATATATATATCATATATTTAGGGGAGAGGAGGGAGGGAGAGAAAGAGGAAAGAAGAGGAAAGGATGAGGGAGATAGAAGACAGACAGGAAAAGAAGAGAAAACAAGAAAATATGTCACCTGAAAAGTTTCTCCCCCATGGAAAGTAAAGACACTTTCCACTCCCAGAGGGCCCCCTTGGGCACTCACTAAATGCCACCTCGAATTACTGTTCTGTGCATCTTTTCTCTCCCAAACTCATCGTTTTCTCCTCCACAGTACCTGGATCTTGTGCCTTCACTAGTCGTGTCCGATTCCTTGTGACCGTATGGACTGTAGCCCACCAGGCTCCTCTGTCCATAGAATTCTCCAGGCAAGAATACTGGAATGGGTGGCCATTCCCTTCTCCAGGGGATCTTCCCAACCCAGGGATTGAAACCGGGTTTCCTGCATTGCTGGCAGATTCTTTACCATCTGAGCCACCAGGGGAGTCCCAAGCCTTCACTTGCTGCTGCTGCTGCTGCTGCTGCTGCCAGGTCACTTCAGTCGTGTCCGACTCTGTGCGACCCCATAGACGGCAGCCCACCAGGCTCCCCCGTCCCTGGGATCCTCCAGGCAAGAGCACTGGAGTGGGTTGCCATTTCCTTCTCCAATGTGTGAAAGTGAAAAGTGAAAGTGAAGTCGCCCAGTTGTGTCCGACTCTTCGCGACCCCATGGACTGCAGCCTACCAGGCTTCTCCGTCCATGGGATTCTCCAGGCAAGAGCACTGGAGTGGGGTGCCATTGCCTTCTCCAAGCCTTCACTTAGTAGATGTTAAAAAGATATTGGTTGATTGATGTAACAACAACTTCTCCAAAATTCAGAGATAAAGGGAGAGGCAGCGAATCCAGTAATACCCAGCTTAATTATACATTGATGGTGACCTACTAACAAGGTCCCTTATGAGTAATAACTTAGAATTAATATTTAATGCTTCTTTAAGATTGACCATTTTACCAAAGGAGAATATTATGTACAGTTCTAATTGTGCCACTAACTCAGAAGATTATCCTAAGTTTAACAGAGATGGTGACTAATGTAAGCCTGAAATGTCATTCAGTTGTTTTCCCTGCAGACCGAACAGATTTACATTTTCTCACTGTAGGATTACCATGGAATGGAAGTACTTATGCTAAAGTTTAAAGATGCAGAACACATTGATACCGTGTTCAATCTATATTTACCTAGCCATTTTTGCAACATATCTTCTAATTTGAAATCTCAAAATTATTTATTCATTATAGAAAATTGTAAAAATATCAAAAAATGGAAAGGTTAAAAAAAGTCATCCATTTCCCATCGTAATTCCTGCCAACTCTTTTTATTTTTAATGCAGATTGTAGATTTTTTTGCTTTGATCATTACATTTATAGAGTTTTGTACTCACTTTTCACTTTTTTTTTTTTCAATCAAATGTCCCAACAGGAACCAGTTTAATGTGGCAAATATGATTCAGAGAAAATTAAGTTAAAATTTGCCTCTACCCCCTACAGACTTGAGTAATTCATTTGGTTGCTCAGATAGTAAAGCATCTACCTGCAATGCTGGAGATATGGATTCCATCCCTGGGTCGGGAAGATTTCCTGGAGAAGGAAATGGCAACCTGCTCCAGTATTCTTGCCTGGAGAATTCCATGGATAGAGGATCCTGGTGGGCTACAGTCCATGGGGTCTCAAAGAGTCAGACATGACTGAGCAACTAACACTTGGACCCTGAGTCTCAAGTTTCTTTTATAGAAGATGGTAATAATAAAATTTGCCTTATAGATAGGCTTAGAATAAACTTGTTCCAGCAGTTGTCATGTCATGATTTAAATTTTATAAATATTTTTAATGGTTTTATAAGATATTTGGAGCATATTTAGCCACAACTTTTAACCATTTTCTGGTTTTTAGATATTCAGATTGTTTTTAACATTTTACTATTTTAAATAATTTTGCAAATATAAATCTTGGTGTGGGAACTTCAATTCAATTTTAGATTTACTCCTTTAGACTGATTCCAAAAGTAGAATTATTATATCAAAAAGAAATTTGATGACTCTTGATATGTATAATTGAATGGTTTTTCAAAAAGGCAAAACCAGTTTATGTTTCTGGTAGTCACATACGAGAATTCTCATTTCATTGCATTCTATCAGGATTTTTTTTTAATTTGTAAATTCAATAGGTAAAAACTGCTATCTTGTCTTAGTTTTCATGCCCTTGATTATTAATGAGGTTGAATATGTTTTCAAGGTATTTAAAAGTTAGTTTTGTCATTTTTCCCTTTTAAGAACCATCTATTCCTATCAGCAAACATCCCTAATCGAACACTCTGCTTACCAAGATTTAAAATGTTCCTTAAAATGTTGTACAGCTTTGGCCAGCATGTAGCTAATGAAGTTGGAACTCTCAGCACTTTCTTCAAGAGGAATGGTGAGTGTGAAATTAGAGGAAGGCAGAATGCTTATGTCTATCATCTTTTCATCTTGTTTGGAGAAATTTCCTTCGTGAACACCTGGAACTACCTAAGAAGCAGGATCATACAATAAAAGGTTACTAACTTTAAGCACACATTCAGGATTAATTTAATACCATGTTAGTCAGGATAGGCTAGGTTGTGCCTGAGGTAGCAAATTAGCCCAGCATTCCAGTGACTTCATACAACATAATTTATCTCTCACTTATCTTACATGTCCCAGCACAAGGACTCTGAACCACCAAGATGCTCAAGACCCTGGTTAAGAGAGGAAGATCATGTCAGTGTGTGGTAGCACGTGTAATAACATATGGCTTTGTTTGTACCCTCAGTAGAGAAAGAACGCATAACCACATGCAGGCTCCTCTCTATCTCAGTCTACAAACACCTCTTCACTTTTGTTCACGTTTCATTGGCCAGATCTTAACACATGGTATCACTTAACTGCAAGAGAAGCTAGACGGTCTGAGTGAGTGGATGGAGTATTTGATGAGTGCTCCTTCCCAGGTGGCGCTATTGGTAAGGAATCTGCTTGCCAATGCAGGAGATGCAAGAGATGTGGGTTTGATTCCCTGGGTGGGGGAAGATCCCCTGGAGGAAGGCATGGCAGCCCACTCCAATTTTCTTGCCTGGAGAATCCCATGGACAGAGGAGCCTGGCGGGCTACAGCACATAGGATCACAAAGAGTTGGACACAACAGAAGTGACTTAGCACACACACGCTGTCTGTGCCACAAATATTAATGTGATACACCAAGTTTTGTACTGAGTTTCTATAGCAAATTTACACACACACTGGTTTTATGTGTAATTTTTTAAGAACCAGTCATCCAAAATGCATGTCATTTACTCTCTTAATGAGTTCTCAAGTGTATATATTTTGATTTAATTAAATGAAACTGTAATGACATGCAACTTGTAATCTAAAGAGAATTATTTTGATATCCTGGCTATTATAAACAGTGCTGCGATGAACATTGGGGTGCACGTGTCTCTTTCAGATCTGGTTTCCTCGGTGTGTATGCCCAGAAGTGGGATTGCTGGGTCATATGGCAGTTCTATTTCCAGCTTTTTAAGAAATCTCCACACTGTTTTCCATAGTGGCTGTACTAATTTGCATTCCCACCAACCGTGTAAGAGGGTTCCCTTTTCTCTACACCCTCTCCAGCATTTATTGCTTGTAGACTTTTGGATAGCAGCCATCCTGACTGGCGTGTAATGGTACCTCATTGTGGTTTTGATTTGCATTTCTCTGATAATGAGTGATGTTGAGCATCTTTTCATGTGTTTTTGTGCCATCTGTATGTCTTCCTTGGAGAAATGTCTGTTTAGTTCTTTGGCCCATTTTTTTATTGGGTCATTTATTTTTCTGGAGTTGAGCTGGAGGAGTTGCTTGTATATTTTTAAGATTAATCCTTTGTCTGTTGCTTCGTTTGCTATTATCTTCTCCCATTCTGAGGGCTGTCTTTTCACCTTGCTTATAGTTTCCTTTGTTGTGCAAAAGCTTTTAAGTTTCATTAGGTTCCATTTGTTTATTTTTGCTTTTGTTTCTAAAATTCTGGGATGTGGGTCACAGAGGATCCTGCTGTGATTTATGTCGGAGAGTGTTTTGCCTATGTTCTCCTCTAGGAGTTTTATAGTTTCTGGTCTTACATTTAGATCTTTAATCCATTTTGAGTTTATTTTTGTGTATGGTATTAGAAAATGTTCTAGTTTCATTCTTTTACAGGTGGTTGACCAGTTTTCCCAGATGCGCATCAGCAGATGAATGGATGAAGAAGCTGTGGTACATATACACAGTGGAATATTACTCAGCCATTAAAAAGAATTCATTTGAATCAGTTCTAATGAGATGGATGAAACTGGAGCCCATTATACAGAGTGAAGTAAGCCAGAAAGATAAAGACCATTACAGTATACTAACACATATATATGGAATTTAGAAAGATGGCAACGATAACCCTATATGCAAAACAGAAAAAGAGACTCAGATGTATAGAACAGACTTGTGGTCTCTGGGAGAAGGCGAGGGTGGGAATGTTTCAAGAGAACAGCATCGAAACATGTATACTATCTAGGGTGAAACAGACCACCAGCCCAGGTTGGGTGCATGAGACAAGTGCTCGGGCCTGGTGCACTGGGAAGACCCAGAGGGATCAGGTGGAGAGGGAGGTGGGAGGGGGGACCGGGATGGGGAATACATGTAAATCCATGGCAAAAAAATAAAAAATTAAATTAAATTAAAAAAATAAAGAGAATTATTTTGAAAATGTTTTCAAATATATCTCCTTATCAAAAAAACTAAAGCAAAATATTAAGAAGTCAAATAAAAATTGGTGATTTCTTGACTCTAGTTTATAAAGCCACCATAGCTTTCCTTTGTTTTTCTTTTGGTGATTAAATAAAACACATTGAACTAGACATAAAGCATTTGTGTCTATCTCAATAAATAGTTATAATGTTAACACCTATGTAACTACAACCTACAGCACATAGCTTTTTTCACCTGCTGGAATTTGTGTACTTTTTATAGAAGATTCCTCTTCAGTATGTGTTGTTTTATAGATTTGTACTTTCCATTACATGATGAACTAAGAGCTGTCTTAAGAAAAATAACTTTTACAGGCAGTTCTGCCCAAGGATCCTGAAGAAAAGCTGTTTGGCCTTGAACCCCAGTTCTACCATTTACTAGCTGTGTGATCTCAGACAAGTTGTGTAACTTCTCTGTACCTTATCTGAAAATTTTGTAAAATAATTATACTCACCGTATAGGAACGCTGAGGGTATTCAATTATGTAATACATGGGGAAAGTTCTTAGAACATTGCCTGACAAATAGTAAGTGCTTTTTAGTGGTGATTATTATTAGAGAAATGTATCACCGAAAATGATGTAACTTTACTTTATATGGAGTTTTTTGTATGGAAATGCCTTTGTTATCAATATCAACAAAATTCTGTAAAGCAATTATCCTTTAATTAAAAAATAAATACATTAAAAAATATCAAAAATTTTAGTTAAATCAGTTAATGTTATTCAGAGACACTAGGATGGAAACAAATTGAAGCATAGAATGGAAATCTTGATGATGATAAAAAGAATTAAATATTGCCTCTACTCTTCTAAAGGTTGAATACACTATTAAAATTTTTCTTAAAATTTTAGTTTTCCTCATTCCTTACAAGAATTTTTATCCTTAAACTAAAAGTCTATATTTGTGAGGATGAACACATATGTCAAAATATGTCGAATTATTTTATGCTCCTAGGGAATGATCTAGCTAATGAAGTAACAGGATTAGAGAGTCAGCAGGAATTGATAGTGGCTTTCAAAACCTTTTGACTATGCTCTGTGGTTACAAACAAGTTTGTTACCATGACTCAAAAACACATGTCTTAGAAAACAAACTTATGATAACCAAAGGGGAAAAGGGGGAGGGATAAATTAGAAATTTGGGATTAACAGATACAAACTACTATATATAAAATAGATAAACAACAAGGACCTACTATAGAGCACAGGGAACTATGTTCAATACCATGTAATAACCTGTCATGAAAAACAATCTGAAAAGAATATATATATAAAACAATAACTTTGCTGAAACTAATAACAATAACATCTGAAACTAATGCAACATTGTAAATCAACTACACTTCAATAAAAAGAAAAGAGAAAAAAAGTCTTATGTATAATATGTGTGTACGTGTGTGTGTGTGTCTGTGTGTGTTGTTGCTTCAATCGTGTCTGACTCGCTGCAACCCCATTGACTGTAGCCTGCGAGGCTCCTCTGTCCATGGGATTCTCCAGGCAAGAATACTGGAGCGGGTTGCCATGCCCTCTTCCAGGAGATCTTCCCAACCCAGGGATCGAACCCACGTCTCTTATGTCTTCTGCACTGGCAGGTAGGTTCTTTACCACTAGTGCCATCTGGGAAGCCCCGTATGATGTATCCACACATATAAACAGATATATGGAAATGAAAGTTCCATGACGTACGCTTCTGACTTATTAAATATGATGCACTCTAATTTTTTTTCTTCTAGTCTGTCCTATTCCATTTTCTGTTTGTTTGTTTTGTTTTAATGTGCTGGTTGTGACTCTAAACTTATTTCTCAACCATTGACCACGTAGTTTGAAAGACAGTGATTCACTAGGATACAAGATGTCATAGGTCAGATTGCCAAGAAGCAGAGCCTTGGAGTCTGATACAGTGATTTATGAAGAGTGCTTTCAGGTAGAACTTTTAAGGGGATGAGGCAAGCAAGACAGAGAAGAGGGAGAAGCTAATCCAGGAAGTGGCTTCAGGTGAGCTCCAGCCTCAGCCTGATCCTGAAGGATAAATGACTCCAAGGACAACCCTTTGGAGAAGGTTGCAGGGGTGAGCAGTTAGCATCGGTCAGGGTAGGGCACTAACATTACATGCTGCGCAAAATACTGCACCTCTGATAGCTCTGCCCAGTGATTTCTGTATCCAGGTCTTTTTAGGAGTCCACCAATACCTCATCAGGAATCACCAGCCTGGTGCATCGTGTATTAATGTCATACATGTGTGTGTGTGTGGAGTGGGGAAGCATTAGGAAAGCAATTCAATCACTGTTTTCATGTTACGCAACAGGAGTTATCGATGAGAAGTGGGAGACATGGTATAAGTGCAACTTAAGATGGCGATCTGATTATTCGTGAACATTAATATAAAAATGTGTTTAATTTTCAAAGAAAGTCAGCAGCTCATTGTGTCAAAAGCTAGTGAGAGCTATAATTTACAGAGCTCTTGTTTTGGATAAGGAATCTATACTCATCACTTTACAGGCACCCATTTTAAAAGAGCTATTTTTATTCCCATTTTCCAGGTGGAAAAATCTCCAGGTGGAATTTTCCCAAACTCACTCAGCTAGTAAGTTTCAGAGCCAGCTTTAGAACTCAGGTTTCTTTATCTGAAAATCTTCTCTCTTAGAAACAATATTGGCCAGGTTTCTTCAAGGTTACCTGTTTCAGTTATCACACTATAGCTCTAGTTAGAATTAGCCATCACTGGGGGCTTCCCTGGGGACTCCGTGGTAAAGAATCTGCCTGCCAATGCAGGAGACATAGGTTCAGTCCCTGACTTGGGAAGATCCCACATGCTGCAGGGAAATTCAGCATGTGAACCACAGTGACTGAAGCCATATGCCCTACATCCTATCCTGTGCTCCTGAAGAAGGGAAACCACTGCCATGAAAAGCCCGTGCGCTGCAACTAGAGAAAAGCCCATACAGCAAAAGCCCCAGCAGAGCCAAAAACAAATAAATGATAGTGTAAAAAAATAATAAAGTACAGTATGATTAAAAAAAAGAATTAGCCATCTCTGGGTTAGAAAGTATTTTGTGTTTTAAGTTGGTTTTCTCTATAGAGTGTCTTGTTTTCTAAAGGCCACGCACAAGTCAGCCTGAGTACAATCACAATGTATGAAAATCCTCCTGCAGCTTGTTTTCAAATTCAGATGGAATTAATAAGAAACAGAAAAATCAGTGTGTGCACATGTAATCTCCATATCTGTTCTCAGCTCTCCATTACCTTTATGAAACTGAAGATGTTCTCACTTCCTGGGGTCTGGCTGGCCAGCTCTGTTACCCAACCAAACTGCTCTCTCATCTTCTCCATCAGATACGTGGTATCCTCCAAGTGATGCTGGGTCATCTGGAGTACCTGGGCGTACTGCTGATTGGATATGTTGACCAACTCAAGGGCCTCATCTGCCTTTGTGTATAGTTCGGGAACAGCAGGACAGTCTAGCAAAAAAGGAAGTAACAGGGTAAAGGACAAGGTCCATGGGCTTTGGAGCTGGGTGGTGTAGATTTAAGGAGTAGTCAAGGCTGTATAGTGTCACCCTGCTTATTTAACTTATATGCAGAGTACATCATGAGAAACGCTGGGCTGGAGGAAGCACAAGCTGGAATCAAGATTGCCAGGAGAAATACCATTAACCTTAGATATGGAGATGACACCACCCTTATGGCAGAATGTGAAGAAGAACTAAAAAGCCTCTTGATGAAAGTGAAAGAGCAGAGTGAAAAAGTTGGCTTAAAGCTCAACATTCAGAAAACTAAGATCATGGCATCCGGTCCCATCACTTCAGGGCAAATAGATGGGGAAACAGTGGAAACAGTGGCTGACTTTCTTTTTCTGGGTTCCAAAATCACTGCAGATGGTGATTGCAGCTATGAAATTAAAAGATGCTTACTCCTTGGAAGGAAAGTTATGACCAACCTAGATAGCATATTAAAAAGCAGAGACATTACTTTGTCAACAAAGGTCCGTCTAGTCAAGGCTATGGTTTTTCCAGTGGTCATGTATGGATGTGAGAGTTGGACTACAAAGAAAGCTGAGCACTGAAGAATTGATGCTTTTGAATTGTGGTGTTGGAGAAGACTCTTGAGAGTCCTTTGGACTGCAAGGAGATCCAACCAGTCCATCCTAAAGGAGATCCGTCCTGGGTGTTCATTGGAGGGACTGATGTTGAAGCTGAAACTCCAATACTTTGGTCACCTGATGTGAAGACCTGACTCATTTGAAAAGACCCTGATGCTGGAAAAGATTGAGGTTAGGAGGCAAAGGGGACCACAGAGGATGAGATGGTTGGATGGCATCACCGACTCAATGGACATGGGTTTGGGTGGACTCTGGGAATCGGTGATGGACAGGGAGGCCTGGCGTGCTGTGGTTCATGGGGTCGCAAAGAGTCGGACATGACTGAGTGACTGAACTGAACTGAGTATAGATTTAGGGGCTTCCCTGGTGGCTCAGTGGTAAAGAATCCACCTGCAATGCAGGAGACACAGGTTTGATACCTGTCTTGGGAAGATCCCCTGGAGGAGGGCATGGTAACCCACTCCAGTATTCTTGCCTGGAGAGTCCCATGGACAGAGGAGCCTAGTGGGCTACAGTCCATGGGACCCCAAAGAAACCTACATGACTGAAGTGGCTGAGCACACATGCATGCATGCTCAGCAGCAAAAAGGAAAAAAACGATTGTGGATTTAAGTCCCAGCCCTTACTTAAGCTTTCTGTTTTTAGCCTTTTTGACCACGAGTGAGTTTTCACTCATTTTGTACCTGGTGAGTTTTCAACCAGGTTCAAAAGACATGAATGAAATAACACCGTAAAGTGATCACAGGGCCAACACACACTGAAGATTTAGCAAATATGCCTCTTCCTTGTCTTCCTTTCCATAGCGTCTGTGAAGGTCATTAGGGCTGCTCCCTGATACTCAGGTCAGGACACATGGGAGAGACTGCACTTCCCTGCCACGTGGACGTTGAGCATGCCATCTTCAAAGTGATGTGTCTCACTGTTTGAGGAAGCGTTTAAGAACGGTTTAGGGTTTATCATGCTCTCTCCCCTGACAGTGGAACTAGTTTTGCTCCGTATGGTGGAGGCTCCATCCTGACACAGAGCTCTCAAACAAGCTGTAACTGACGAATCATAAATGGTATCACCAATTCAATGGACATGAATTTGAATCTGAGCAAACCCCAGGAGATAGTGGAGGAGCCTGGCACGCTGCAGTCCATGGAGTCACAAAGCGTCAGACTTGACTGAAAAAACTTAGCACGCACGCATGCACATACATTTAAGTAATTCAAGAAAATATTTTTAAAACAAAGGGAGTAACAGTTAACAAGATATAGTATACATTTGAAAGGAGATCCAGATATTCTTTTAAAATGTCTTCATTTGCAAGTTTAGAGTTGTTAACTTTTAAAATAGTGATGTAAATTTTCTTTAAATTATGGGGGAAGAAGTTGGTGACTTCCCTCATGATTTTAGGCAAGGAGAATTCTACAAGGGATTCTCATTTACTCTTTCAGAGAGCGGAAAAAGATTTCCCTAAAATAAAGATGAAACTTGGTGTAAAACACAATCACGTGAGAAAGGAAAAAGTAGAACTCTCTTTATTCACAGATGACATAGTCTTGTATACAGAAAAATCTTAAGGAATGTATTTTGTTGTTGTTCAGTTGCTAAGTTGTGTCCAACTCTCTGTGACCCCAAGAACTGCAGCACGCCAAGCTTCCCTGTCCACAGTCTCCTGGAGTTTGCTCCAATTCCTGTCCATTAGGTTGGTGATGCTATCTAAACATTTCATCCTCTGCTGCCCTCAATCTTTCCCAGCATCAGGGTCTTTTCCAAAGAGTCAGCTCTTCACATCAGGTCACCAAAGTATGGGAGCTTCAGCTTCTGCCCTTCCAGTGAATATTTAGGGTCACACAGAAACTATTAAAAGTAATAAATCAGGAGGGTTGTACTTACACATACTGTCAACTGATGACTGCTGTAGGTTTAGTTAAAATCCATCATCTCATATGTTAATAGATAAAATAAAAAGAAAATAAAATTTTCCTGGGATGTGAATTCTTAGGATTTACTCTTTTAACTTTCCTGTATATCACACAGCAGTGTTAGCTACAATCATCATGTTGTACATTACATCCCAGTACTTACTTATCTTGTAACTGGAACTTTGTACCTTTTGACCACCTTGCTCTAATCACCTCCCCAACACCCCCGCCCCCCCCATCTTCTCTATTACCTTATGACAATCAAGGAGAGATTATTCTTCAAGGCGTTTCACTGGATGTAAGGAACATAATGATACATCTGTGGGATGTCTGAATTGGACTATTCTTATAAGAGGTCAGTAGAAGGGAATGGCACCCCACTCCAGCATTCTTGCCTGAAGAACTCCATGGACAGAGGAGCCTGGTGGGCTACAGTCCATGGGGTTGAAAAGAATCGGACACGACTGACCAACTAACAATTTCACTCATTTTCACATTAGTGTATACTTTTCTGTTATAAAAATTTCTGGGTCTGTATGCAACCTTGTAACTCTGACTTGAAGCACAAACACTTGAATAATGAGAATCATGAATACTTCAGACATTTTACTTAATTCTTGAAATACCTGTGTAGCTATATTAATTTCATTTTCCAGATGATGAAACAGAGGTGTGGAGAGTCACCCAGTGAGCAATTCTGAAGAAATAAGACCCCCATCTGCTCTAATAAAAAGCTCGAGTTACATTTGATCTCTTGCTCCAATTCTTAGCCACACTTTTTAGAATTTCATTCTCTTAAGGGCTTTGGTGAGGTAAAGAAGCAGAAGTAGAGAAATCAAAAGTTCTTCTTGGCTTTAGTGAGAAAATTTGTGTTGAGGCCCTAGTAGAGAGGAAGTGACTTCAGTTGGGGAAGGGACTTGAGGGTCAGAGGAAAGTGAGACGGGCCAGTGGAGATAATTTTTCTCCTGGAGAAGGAATGAAAGGTGGCTGTTGGTCAGATCTAGGATGTGACAGGCTCCTTGGGGCTTGTGAGAAGCCACTCAGCTCAGTTCAGTCACTCAGTCGTGCTGAACTCTGCGGTGACCCCATGGGCTGCAGCACACCAGGCTTCCCTGTGCATCACCAACGCCCGGAGCTTGCTCAAACTCATGTCCATTGAGTCGGTAATGCCATCCAACCATCTCATCCTCTGTCATCCCCTTCTCCTCCCACCTTCAATCTTTCCCAGCATCACGATCTTTTCTAATGAGTTTGTTCTTTGCATCAGGGGGCCAAAGTATTGGAGTTTCAGCTTCAACATCAGTCCTTCCAATGAATATTAGGGACTGATTTCCTTTAGGATTGATCGCCTTGCAGTCCAAGGGACTCTCAAGAGTCTTCTCTAACACCATAGTTCAAAGGCATCAATTCTTTGGTGCTCAACTTTCTTTATGGTCCAACTCTCATATCCAAACATGACTACTGGAAAAACCATAGCTTTGACTAGATGGACCTTTGTTGACAAAGTAATGTCTCTGCTTTTTAATATGCTGTCTAGGTTTGCCTTAGCTTTTCCCATCTTTTAATTTCATGGCTGCAGTCACCGTCTGCAGTGGTTTTGCAGCCCAAGAAAATAAAGTCTGTCACTGTTTCCATTGTTTCCCCATCTATTTGCCATGAAGCGATGGGACCAGGTGCCATGATCTTAGTTTTTTGGATGTTGAGCTTTAAGCCAGCTGCCTATATTTAAAAATTAAGTTGGCCAAAAATTTCATTTGGGTCTTTCCATAAGATGTTACTTATGTATGAAATTTTTGGCCAATCCAATACTAAATCACTAAATACAGTTAGTAATTAACCCATCAACTGGAAGAAGTTAATGTCACTTAAACAAACAACCAAAAAACTCACTTGACCAAAAATTTGCTTACACAATGTGAAGACTTCTTCCTGGGTGTTTTTTTTTTCCCTCTTTGCATTAAAAAGAAAATAATTGCCTTAATTTGCCCAGAGATCTCTTTTGCTCACTTGAGTGTTTGTTTGGTCCTTAACCATACATGTTTTTCACGGGAACAAGGGAGTTTAAAAAAGAGAAAAAGTGAGTTGACCTACTTTTGAATAATAAGAGTCTATAAACCTGCCCTGAGCACCCCCAGATTGTCACTGAGCTCATGAAAAAGTGCTCGAAGGGAAGTAAATGAATCCTTGAAGCTTGTAAAAGTGAGATTTTGACCTCTGATCAGAAGGCAATTGAAATCCTGAGAAAATAATAATCACTTACCTGCCCACAGGTAATCCTGACATTTCTGGCATCTTGCATGAAATTGGAAACATTCCGACGAGTTCTGGTCAAGTTCTCCACACAGCCCTCTGCCCCACACAGGCCACGTTGTGGAACTCTGTCCATCGTGAGCAGAATCTGCAAGGAACACAGCAGTTTCACATCAGTGTCATTACAGAATCTGAACTTTAAAGGCGTGGGTGCAATGGCATTTCTCTTTCTAACCACCACTTTCAAAATCTTTGTTCTGTATTCAACTGCAGGAGGGCATACTGGTACAACAAGATGCTAAGACAATTTGACATCTATTAAAAGTGAATATATCCTTTAATCCAGTAATCTCATTACTATTAAAATATAATATTAATATTACTACTAATCATTGCTATTATTACTACTTGCCCCAATTCCAACCTCCCACACAGAGGTTCATGCAATAATTTTATTTTCAGGAAGGAATCTTGAGGAATTATTAATAGTCACTATCTTTTGGAAGAGAGACTTAAAGGGGTGGGAGAAGGCAGCTTTCATTTATTTTGTTCCTTTGAATATTTGAATGTTTTTAAATTTAGTGTGTCTTAGTTTTATCATTATTATTTCTGATGTCACTGGTGTTAACTAAATAGGGAATTATAAGCCACTTTTTTCTTTTTGGGCTTCTGTTAAAATTTTTTCTAGTAATTATCCTTGGCAGAGGATAAGATGGTTGTATGGCATCACCGACTCAATGGACATGAACTTGAGCAAACTCCAGAAGATAGTAGAGGATAGGGAAGCCTGTTGTGCTACAGTCCATGGGGTGCAAAGAGTCAGACATGACTTAGCAAATGAACAACAACAAGTTTTATTTTTTTCAAGCTATAATTCAAATGTATATTGGAGTTCCAGAGATATTAGAAATGTCTGCTTCTTAAACTAGATGTAGGTATTTACTTTATGGCTGTTCTTTTTTGGCATTTCACATATATAATGTTATGAAAAGTAGTTCAAAGATTTAGGAAAACATCTAAAGCAGATCTAAACATCTCTCTAAAGGTTCTAAAGAGAAGCTTTTTTTGTTCTAGAAGAATTAACCATCCATATAAAAATGATGATATAAAAAGGAGTGCATGCACAGAAAATTGATAGTTCCCAACTGTTTCACACTAGGAAAAACTTATTATTAATTGGCAACCTGATGATATTCTGTTACATTAAATCCTTGATGTTAAATAATGAAACATTCCATTTTGAGATAAGTTGTGAAGTTTATTGTTTAAAAACCTACCAGGCATTTGCTAGATCTTCTGGTGGGTAAAGCAGCACCCGCTTTGACTAGAGTACTAGTCAATTTTTCCCACTCCCTATAGATTTAGTGGCATCTCCTCTAGCCCCACAGAACCCCCATGAGTTCTACAGTAGAGCGTCTCTGCACGATGTGCTGGTTCATTTTTGTCTTCTGTTAGGCTCTGAGTCCCTCGAGAGGAGGGATTTGGTCTTATCATCCTACTCATCCTAATCTTGTCATTCTTCTATACATTCTTCTGTCATTTCAGTTACAACACGGTGTGTAATTGTCCACTGACCTGTTTTCCTTTCTCTGATGCTTAGCGCTCAGTTGTGTCCGATTCTTTTGTGACCCCCATGGACTGTAAGCCCTCCAGGCTCCTTTGTACATGGGAATTCTCCAGGTAAGAATACTGGAGTGGGTTGCCATGCCCTCCTTCAGGGGATCTTCCCAACCCAGGGATGGAACCCAGGTCTCCCGCATTGTAGGTGGAGTCTTTACTCTCTGAGTCACCAAGGAAGCCCTCCTTTCTCTAAACTGAACTCCTAGAAGTCGGGAGCTGTGTCATCTGCATCATAAGCTACTCTTGTCTTATTTGCAGCATCTAGATTAATACCTGCTATATTCAGGGGTGGCAAATTTCAGGTCTGTATGACAGCCATTCCGCATTCCATTCCCATCACCTCCCTTCAGCCCTGCCAACACAGAGCCTCAGGGCCCCCTCTAGGCAGTTACTTCGGGTAAATCATCTGTTCTCCCAGCTTGCCTGTTTGCTCCAGGGGAAAATTAAAGACAGCAACATTCTCCAGGGCAGGATTAAAACCCAGATCACCTGGCCCCCAGCGCTGTGTGAACCTACCATACTACACAATTTTATCCAATCTTGTTGTTTAGTCTCTTAGTCGTGTCTGACTCTTTTGTGACCCCCATGGACTGCAGCCTGCAAGGCTCTTCTGTCCATGGGATTCTCCAGGCAAGCATACTGGAGTGGGTGGCTATTTCCTCCTCCCGGGGATCTTCTGGACTCAGGGATCAAACCCGCATCTCCTGCTTGTCCGGCAGATTCTTCACCACTGAGCCCCTAGGGCAGCTCACTCAGAGAGCACGTTACTGATGAGAGGCATGTAATAGCTTCCTACTGCTGTTGTAACCGAATCCACACATTTAGTGGCTTGAAACAACATGTATTATTTTACAGTTCTGTAGGTCAGAAGTCTGAAATGGGACTCAGTGGGCTAAATGAGAGTGTTGGCAGGGCTGATCTTTTCTGGAGGCTCTGGGGGAGCATCCATCTCCATGTCTGTCTAGTTTCTGGAGGCCACCACCTTCCTTGGCTCCTAGTTCCCTTCCTCCATTTTCAAATCCAGCAAAGTAGGGCCAAGTCCCTCTCACTCTGCCATTTCTATCAATGCTTTTCTGTCTCCTTCTACTATTAAGAGCTCTTGTGATCTCATTGGAGCCACCCGGACAACCTCAAATACTCTGTTTTTTTTTTTTTTTAAGTTTAATTTTTATTTATTTATTTGGCTTCACCAGGTCTTAGTTGCGGTACATAGGATCTTCGTTGCTGAGTGCAGGATCTTTGTGCCGGCATGAAGGATCCAGTTCCCCGATCAGGGACCAGACTCACGCCCTCTACACTGGGAGTGAGGAGTTTTAGCCACTGGAGCACCAGGGAAGTTACACTCTCCCTATTTTAAGGTCGACTGATTGGCAGCCACGATTCCATCTGCAGGCTTACTTTCCCTCGGCCATGTAACTTAATATTTTCACAGGTTCTGGGGATTAGGAGGTGGGTATACTTAGAAAGGGACTTCCCTGGTGGCTCAGATGGTAGAGAATCTGCCTGCAATGCAGGAGACGGAGGTCCCATCCCTGGGTTGGGAAGATGCCCTGGAGAAGGAAATGGCAACCCATTCCAGTATTCTTGCCTGGGAAATCCTATGGACAAACAGCAGGATTTCTGGAAGGAGCTTGTTTTATTTTTCATCAAAGAACATACTTGTCCTTGGCCTAATGGTCCACAGAGATAAGTTCAAGGAAACATATATTCTACCTGTATTCTACCTGTGCCCACACAACATCTCTCATTTCTGAGATGCTGGGTCCCACCCACTCCACAGAAACCCAAAGAAGGAACCTCCTACTGTGTTACAACATAAAGCAGGGCCTTCCTTGGTGGTCCAGAGGCTAAGACTCTGCGCTCCCAATGCAGGGGGCATGGGTTCAATCCCTGATCAGGGAGCTAGATCTCACATGCTGCAACTAAGACCCAGTGCTGCCAAATTAATTTAAAAATATAAAAGAGGATTGCTTTTCCAACACAGACTATCAGGGGGCATGAGTGGTACTGGTAGAAGGCGAATCTTAAAAGTTACAGAGGTTTCTATTTCTGTACTTTTGGGTTTGTCTATGAGCACTGAATCTGGCTTTGTGTACAAATGTTGTGATTTAAAGAATTACAGTAGCGATGCAGAGGAGGCCATGGAGGGCCCTAAATGTGACCTGGTTTTACGTGGCACTAAAGCGTCTTCCTTAACTGGGAGCTGAGGAGCCTGGACTGATTTTAAAGAAACCTCATGATGTTCAAGCAGAATAGAGCTGAATGTCTGCCCGAGTTTTAATAAAGAAGGCTACCATCTTTTTAAAGTTCTCACCTTACCAGCATGTTCTTTCTCAGCTTTGAACATTTTCTTTAGAAAGAGAAAACAGCCCTACAAAGCTCTTGACAAAGATGAGAGAGGGCTGGTGTTTGGGAGACCTCAGAGTCTCTTCTAAGAGGCTATGAGACTTTGATTATCCATTAACCACCACTCTTGGAAACATGGTAGGATGACTTAGAAACAGTTACCATTTCCAAAGCTAAATAAAACTTAACTTTAGTGTAGATATCTAAGTAAAAATAATCTTTTAATACTTGCCTTTGTCTTGTTTGGGTAAGTCCTCAATGGCCTTCAGCATCTCTGTAACTGTTGCGCTGACACTTTGATAAACAGAGAGACTGAAATTACAAAACAGCTGGAAGAAGCTGGGAATGTCCCAACTCTGCATAGGATGTGCTTTTTTTGCTGGCTCTTTGGATAAAGCTGGAGAAAAGTAAGGCTCCACGGAGTCTGTGTCTGACATAAAGTATGACTGAAAAGCCAGGTCAAATTCTTGTTGCATCTGTTTGAAGACGTGAAAGCTCATATTATAGAGAAATCCCACATCCACGGTCAGCTGGCTGAACACATTCTCTATCTGCGTCAACTGTACATCTTCCTCAGTGAACTTCTCACCAACAGGGAGCTCTTTTTCTTCATCTTCATGGAAAGGAAACAGAAACTGATATATCTTCCGGAAAACCCGTTCAATCTATGGGCAGGGTGGGGGACAGAAATGAAATAAATGTATTTTCTTCCAGAACTATTTTTTATTGTAAACTTTTAAGTCATATTACAGAAATCATTCCAAATCAAGACCAATCCTGGGCAAACTAGGAAAAGGTGATCTGCTTTAAGATCACTTACTAACACTCATGTACCTGGTTTTGGGGCTCCCCCGTGGCTCAGTGGTAAAGAATCTGTCTCAATCCAGAAGCCACAGGAGATGCGGGTTTGATCCCTGGGTCAGGAAGATCTCCTGGAGGAGGGCATGACCACCCACTCCAGTGTTCTTGCCTAAAGAATCCCGTGGACAGGGGAGCCTGGGGCACTACAGTCCATGGGGTCGCAAAATTAGCACGCATGCACACACCTGGCTTTGACTTTGATTATGGAAATAGGGTCTGAAATTCCTCTTGGCTTCTGTTTCCCTCCCAAAAGACCTAAGAAGGCCAAGTTTTCAATACTGTTGACAAGCCACAGCCCTTATGTACTGGTAGTGGTTGGCATGCATGGTTTTAGACCATGCTGATTGCCTGAAAACTGTGAAGGTTCCCATCTTTCATTTCTGCCTTAGTGTCTTAGGTTTTTTCCCCACTTAAGTGGGATGTTATTAGTGTCCTCCTACTCTCCTTGGTCTCATGCTTTTAAATTGGTCCATGGAAAAGAGAAGATCAATACATTTGCACTGAACTATGGATGCTTTTTGTTGTGGTGGTTGTTCAGTTGCTAAGCTGTGTCTGACTCTTTGCGATAGATGCTTAATACATCTAAATAGGTTACTTAGGGATGTTACATATTACCAGTGATCAAAGCCTTCCTTTGCCGCAGTCAAAGGAATGAAGCTCTAATTATAGAATTTCTTACTCAGAGGGAGATCTTCCAGGAATCACACCATGTTCTCCTCCACCTTTGTGACATGTAAGTTCATTCCAGAACAGAGCTTCCCTTGTATGAAAGTGCTGTGACCATGTTGTGTGTTTTGGAACATAACAACCATCGAACATCACTGCTGGAACACCATCATCCACCCCCCTACCCCTGTTCTGTTCAAAGAGTTCTCCAGGAATCCTTAGAGGACTCATGCCTTTCTCAAAAAGTAATCTGGGTGGATCATCTGCCTCTCCCTGTCAGCTGTCAGCTTCTGTTTACCTGAATCCAGACACAGAAACAATAAATTTAAAGGCCCGAGAAATTGTCCTAAGGTTACACAACTATCACAGATAGGAATGGTCCTCAAAGCTCATGACTTCCACCCAGTGCTCATCCAACATATTCTGCTGTATCCGAGACTGGCTCTAAAACTAGAGCAGATGCGAATAACAGTGGAGGCAAATGAACTTGGCGTATGAATTATCCTAGGGGTTTCTCCCTCTGTAATTGGGGATGGCACTGCCAAGCCAAGAACAGACTCTAATTAGTGCATGCTCTGACAGGGAGGAGAATTTCACTGTGCTTCCTACTCAGCCCACTGCTTCAAGGGGGAGAGCCAAAAGCAGAGGAGCTTTTTATGGGTCAGAGCTCATCCTATTCAGGTCACCACACTCTGTGATTCTCTCTGCCCAGAAGAGAGCCCAAAGGGACAAAAAAAGAAAACACACCAGTCCTACAGGACGTAGATTGAGATAAAGGGGCCATGAATGTGGGCACGGGTGTGTGTGTGCACATGCATGTGTGTGCTGCCACAAGAAGGCAAGCCCACTGAAGGAAAGATTCAGGAGGCAGAGAATGCCTTCAAAGGTCTGGCCTCCAGAGAAGAAAAATCAAAGCAGGTTGAAATCAGAAACTATAATACTATTACTCAGAATGTAATTCAGCAAACATTTATTGAACACCTACAATGCTTAAATGAAGGCAGATAAGATACGGTTCCTGCCCTCATAGAGCTTACAATCTAGCGTGAATAGGTTCACAAATAACAAATACAAGGCAGAAAGAGGGTATTTCTGAGAGATACACACACAGTGTCATGAGAGGGGGGACAAACACTGGGTGTCTGTTCTAACTTATAAATCACATAACCACAGGTGATTCATACAGAAATATGAATGCTCGATTCCAGGTTGCACAAGGTCAATATCAGATCAGCCATCCCTATTCTAAATATTAACATAAATTACTTCAAAAAAGTAAACTGAAGCAGGTACCTTAAGAACTTAGCAATCTTGAGTTCTGCTTTTCCCTTACCGTGGTTTTCATAGAGGACCAACTGCTTTGGCAGGTTGTATAAAATCTCATGCAGTCACTTTCCAGGCAAGATTTGCATTCGTCCCAGGAATCCATCAAAGACACCTGGCATAGCCTTTCTTCCTCTTCTAGATGTTCTTGAACTTCATTCATAAGCTTCAGGGCCTCCTAATTAAAAAGTAGAAACACACACCCTATTTCCATTTCATGACTTTGTGTGCTATACCTTAATTGATTTCTCACTTTACAAAATGTGCATATTCTAAACTAAACCTCATTTCCGCTACAAATGAGCAGCTGATAGATTTACCCGGAAGATTTCAGTTAAGAGAACTGATCCCTTCTGAAAACTGGACACTTCTTATCCACCTGTTTATTTATACATTCAACAGCTGTTTATTGAGAGTTTGCTATGGGATGGGCATTTGCTGCTCGTGAGTGAACCAGCAACAAAGGCACAGCCCTTGCTCTGCAGAATGCCTAATTGATCTGCTCACTTGTCTGTCTTCACTTCTAGCCCTTGGAGGAGGTGAAGATGGAATTTTAAGGCTGACAAAGTTGACACATTTATGTCCTTCATTTATGCTGCCTTCAATTTTCTGCCTTTAATTTGCTATTAAACACTGCCAGAAAGCACAGCTCTGGTGCATCACATCAAGTCTTCGCAGTGAGTTGCATTCTAATGGCAGAGATGCTGTGTTCTCAGCAGCTTTGTGGTTCTCGTCCATATTCCGAGCACGCCCCCTGGCGGTGCCCGCTGTACTCGACCAGGTCCCACCCAGCAGAGGTGACACCGGTCCGGAGAACGTCAACCCCGCCCCCAGAGCTCCTAGCCGAGCCAGCATCCTGCAGACCGCCCCAGGCCTGCCTGCAGGAGGGGGACTTCTGCAAACCGGCTCCCTCCAGGCCTGAGAAGTAGCTCAGGGGTGTTAGGGGAGCTAATAGACTCGTCCATAAGAGGAAAGCCTTAGAGCTGTTGGCGACTCCCTTAAGTGGAAAAACACGAGTGAGCACAGTTTCTAAAACCAACTTGGTGCCTAATTTTACCAACTGGAAAAGAAAGAGATAAGCACCCCTTCCTGGCATGTTAAGCCCAAAGAGACACCTGGGCACTGACAATTTCCCACATATCTGCTAGGCCCGGAATTTTCATCTCTCCTCGTGGCAGAATCCTGGGGTTGAGGCAGCTAGCTGTTCTTTGCTGCATGCCATAGAGGAAGCCTGGCCGGGCCCCAGCCTGCCAAACAAACCTCGTGATCTAGACAGGCTTAACCTATCTTTTGGGGCTTTGCGGAACAATTATGGAATCCTGCAACTTCTCAAGAAAGCTTGCTCCACCAGGGGAGGAAACAATACCACTCAAATTTTCTCAGTCTTTTTTAAATATTATGCTCATTGTCACTGTAAACCAAAATCCCCAGTATTTCCAATTACAAAATACCCTCACTGTGGACCCGTGGGCAAATTATTTAATCATCTCTGGGCCCATTTCCTTTGTAGCAAACCAGAATACTTGTAGGATCTACTTCTTAAGTTTTCATATTGAGATAAGCAAGCAAGTCACCTAGCCTATAATCACCTGATTTGCTTTCGCTTATCTCCAAGAGCATAATGAAAACCAATGGCCAAATCACGTGGCCCAAGACTTGGTAGTGAACTGTTGCCCCGGAGGAAGTAGGTCTCTGGTTTAGGAATGTCCTGTCCAAGCCCTCTGCTTCCTCCAAATGTGATAGATTTCATATTTAGAGTTGTCTTCCTGCAGTTCAGTTTATCAAAGTCGCACCCAAACCTGGACAGGGGTGCGTGGTGTGGAATCACTTGAAGGGCTGCTTTAGGGTTTCCCACTTTAGTAAGAGGAAGCTTTAGATGCTCCCACTAATATAAAAATGGGCTTCCCAGGTGGCACTAGTGATAAAGAACCCGCCTGCCAATGCAGGAGACACAAGAGGCATGGGTTCAATCTCTGGATCTGGAAGATCCCCTGGAGAAAGAAAGGGCAGCCCACTCCAGTATTTTTGCCTGGAGAATCCCATGGACAGAAGAGCCTGGTGGGTTACAGTCCGTAGGGTCACATAGAATCAGACACAACTGAAGCACACATGTACATAAACAGGGAGAAGAAAAGCTGAGGAGAGGGACTGAGATCATGCCCGGTCACCCGAGGATGGATGGAGTTTTTTTTTCTGGGAGAGTGGGGTTGTCCACCCCATATCTGACTATTCGTAATTTATGAAAAGTATCTTTTACTTTAGGTTTAAAATCATTTAGGAAGGAAGATTTTGGGTTAAACAGATTTTTCCTTTTTAAAATGAATTTTTGGGACTTCCCTGGCAGTTCAGTGGTTAAGACTCCATGCATCCAATGCAGGAGGTGTGGGTTCTGTCCCTGGTGGGGGAACTAAGACCCCACATGCTGTGTGGCATGGCCAAATAATGAGATAAATTTGAAAAAAAAATGAATTTTTATGAGTGCCCATACCTTAAGAGTATAATTCAATGATTAAAAAAAAATAGAATAAATAAGTCTTAAGAAATAATAAAAATTTTACTAGCTTATGAGATTCTACAGCATCAGAAATGGAACTAACACTTGCTGACCTCACACTGAGCTTTCCTTTCATAGTATGTGCTGCCTCCTTGGCTCACGAGGAGGCCAGGGAAAAGGAGAAAAACAGAAAGTCCCAGGTCCCGCAGGCACAGCGCCAGCTCACTTTCTCCTGGGTCAGTCATGACAGGGTTGGGTTAACACATTAATTAACATCTCAAAACTCAGTTTCCTTAGCTGTAAAATGAAAAATGATGGTTTACCCAGACGCTGGAAGGATGTGATAATGTGTTTTATAAGGGCCTGTAAATGATATCTAGTGTGGTTATTCTTGGTGGTCAGACTCATGAGCCCACCAGGGAAGAACCTGGCTTAGAGGAGCTTCCCCATTTCTTCATAAGGAGCAGGTTTTGATTTCCTCAAGGTCTTTTGCTGGCTGCTGAAAGGAAGGAGGGTTTGCAGCTGCTGCTCAAGCCGTCTCCTCACCAGGGACCCTGTGTGGCTGCGAAATCAACCAGCTGGTGACAGGCTGACTGTAGCTCTGAGGTCACAGCCTGTGACAGCCCTGCTCCAATGGCTCAGGGGCACCCCGTGGCCACTGTGAATGCCAGGATCTCCCTGGAGCTGGTGCGAAAGTGTTAGTCGCTCAGTCCTGTCCAACTCTTTGTGACCCCATGGACTATAGCCCACCAGGCTCCTCTGTCCATGGAATTCTCTCCAGGCAAAAACTACTGGCGTGGGTAGCCATCCCCTTCTCCAGGGGATCTTCACGATCCAGGGATTGAACCTGGGTCTCCTGCATTGAGGGCTGATTCTTTACTATCTGGGCCACCAGGGAAGTCCTGGAGCTTGGTGATTCCCACCTTTACAGATCTAGGTCTAGAGAGGAGATATTAGAACTTCTATTTATTTTTTAATTTAAAAATAAACTATGGGGAGTTGTTTAATGGGTACAGAATTTTGGTTTTGCAGGAGACACGAGTTCAATCCCTGGGTTTGGAATACGCCCTGGAGAAGGAAACAGCAACCTACTCCAGTATTCTGGCCTGGGAAATCCCAAGGACAGAGGGGCCTGGAGGGCAACAGTGCAGGGCGTCTCGAAGAGTCAACATAACTTCGTGACTAACAAAACAAAAAGAGTTTCGGTTTTGCAAAATGGTAAGAATTCTGGAGCTCGGTTGCCCAACAATGCAAATGTATTTAATACTATTGAGCAGTACTCATAAAAGTGGTTAAGATGGCAAATTTTGTGATATATATTTTACCACAATTAAACATTTTTTCATGAAAATGAAGTTTAAAAATGTGGAAGATCTGGGTTGGGAGGGATCTCTCCTGGAGGAGGGCATGGCAACCAATTCCAGTATTCTTACCTGGATAATCCCCATGGACAGAGGAGCCTGGCAGGCTGCAGTCCATGGGCTCGCAAAGAGTCAGACACAACTGAGCGTCTAAGCACAGTACACACTCCCAATTTTAAAATTTAAAATACTTTGCAAATTATTTTTGTTATAGTTTTGACATCCTCTTTGATTTAAGGGCATGTTGGAAATAAACTTTTAAAAATTTTACCTATTCTGAGTGTGATGTTAATGGTTATTGCCATTAAACTATGAGCCATGCAATGTCTATAGTTTAAAAATGTATTGAGCTTTATATTGTAACATATAAACAGTTTTTAATATGGCCCATGGATGTCTGAATATAATGTATATCCTCCATTGATAAGGTATATAGTTTAGACAGAAACTATTAAGTAAAGGTACATGAATTAAATTGATGAGGCTGATATACTATTTCACAGGCACTGGTGCTCATGTCAGGCCATTGCATGTGGCCAGCTGTGCGTGAGGACCCTGGGGAAGAGGGACCCTGTATATTCCAGGAAGCATGGACACTGGTTGCCTCTGTTGACTTGGAGCCAGTTGCAGTGAATTACCATTTAAGAGGACTCAGGTAAATGAGGGCTTCCCAGGTGGTGCTAAAGGTAAAAATCTGTCTGCCCATACAGGAGATACTATAAGAGATGTGGGTTCGATCCCTGGGTCTGGAAGATCCCCTGGAGTAGAAAATGGCAACCCACTCCAGTATTCTTGCCTGGAAAATTCCATGGACAGAAGTGCCTGGTGGGCCCCAGTCCACGGGTCTGTAAAGAGTCAGATGCGACCGAACAACTGAGCACAGGTAAATGATGGATTTTAACTACTTTAAACTAAACTAGTCCTCACTGAAAGGGCAGGAGACTTTAGAAGATTCTTGAAAAGAAAATAACCAGCAGATTAAAAAATATGAATAACTTCTGCTCAGGTAGGTAAGAAATAATGGCAGGGCTAACACTTTTTCACTCACTTTGTTGGCCTTGTGTCAGTAAAATGATGGTCTAAACAGATTTGGCAATAAGCTAAAAATTTTTTCAAAATATGTAGAAGATTATTTGAAATATGGATTTATATCCATCCACCCAAGCTAAAGACAAACCTGAAGTGTATTCTGTGCCTTGAGATAATAATGGTAGCAATTCATGTATCTAATTTATAAATAAATGAAAATGCATATACTCAGGAGTGGATGCTAACAATAATTACAGTAATAAGAATGGAAAAGAAAAAAACTTTTGTAGGCCACTGATCTGGCCAAAAACTTCCAAACATTTTTGACTTGACATTCCAACTCAAAAGGCACCATTAAGCACTTTTAAGAAAGTAGCATTTCCCAAACAGTGTTGAATCCTCCAAACACCTGAGTTTGGAGTCTTTCAAAGGCCTAATCTGTGCTTGCTTTGGCAGCACATATACTAAAATCAAAGGCCTAATCTACAAGGAAAATGTTCTTTGAAGAAATTTGAAATTTCCTTCAAAGTATTCCTCCAATAGGGTGGATTTCCAGAAAAACTATGATAAGGGTAAATAAATAATATCTCCACTGCATTCAGATGTGCACTATTTATGGTCCAGACATATTTCTGAACAGTTATACAGGTTTTGTTTTTGTTTTTTTAGGCTGCACCGTTCAGCATGCAGGATCTTAGTTCCCCCTAACCAGGGATCAAACCAGGCCCCCCGGCGTTGGGAGTGAGGCATCTTTACCAGCGGACTTCCCAGGACAGGTATGATTTTCAATGACTGTACCTGCTTTTCTTCTCTGCATTTCTTCAGGGTTCTCATTAGCTTGCTATGTTCCTCCTCTCTTCTTTCCATCAGGATTTTCATCTGCTTCATGCCAATCAAAGCCTTCTTCACCTCTTCATCTACATCTATCTCCCCAGCCTTGGAAAAACCTAAAAGATTATGTTGTAGTTTTTCCCTTTAAGATCTGATCAGATTATAGTGTATCACAATACAGTGAGTTCCAGCCATTAAAAAGAATGAAATAATGCCATTTGCAGCTACATGGATGGACCTACAGAGTGTCACACTGAGTGAAGGAAATCAGACAGAGGAGAAATAATCCTGTGGACATCCCTTACATGTGGAATCCAAACAGAAATGATACAAGTGAACTTATAAAACAGATCAAGAGGCTTAGAAAACGAATTCATGGTTGCAGGGAGTTTGGGAAGGTCAGGTACACACTGCTGTATTTAAAATGGATAACCAACAAGGACCGACTGTACAGCGCGTAACTCTGCTCAATGTTGGGTGACAGTCTGGCTGAGTGGGGGGTTTTGGGGGAGAATGGATACATGTGTATGAATGGCTGAGTCCCTTTGCTCTTCACCTGAAATGACCACAACGTTGTTAATCAGTTATACCCCAATACAAAACAAAAAGCTTAAAGTTTTGTAATAATGATAATAGAAAGAATACAATGAGTTTACCAGTTTTTCATGTCCCCCCAGTAGAGGCTTAATTGTTTTTTATCGCATCAGACTCCAAAAGCAGGTCACCAGGCTATCAGCTACCACATGGAGGGGGCTACCCGCCACCCTACCCCACCCCAAGGGAAATACCTTCTGTTCTTCACTTCTGAGCTTCCAGCCAAGTCAGAGTTCATTTAACCCCATCTTATCATTCTCCTCAGAGCCTGTTTTCATTTATCCAATTTTTTTTTCTTTCCCTTAAAACTCAAGTGTGTTTATATTAGAAGAAAACATTGAGTTTTCTTCACGGACAATTTATATTAAATGCCCAACTGGGAACCTCAAACAGAACAATTTCCTTTTCTTTCAGCTTCAATTACCTTCCCAGGAGGCATCAAACCTAGAAAGTATCTGGTATAATGCAAGATTCTTTAATAACCTCCTGGATGTCTCTAAAACCCCTTTAATAAGCCTTTAGTGAGTATGAAATTCATCGTTTGTCATACTCTTTTCACAATAGCAACGTGGCCGCCAAAGGAGCTTAACCTGGCTTCCAAATTTATTTACAGATCCCCAAAAGGAATATTTAAACTAATTTATTTTTCTAAGATAGACACCCAAAGCATATCTCATCAAACAAAGGCTCCAAGTTAATGAGCACAGACCAACCAGATTAGATGTCACTCTAACCCATCCTTTCAAGGTCTCACGAATAACTGCATGGATGACTTTAATTGTTTAAATGTTTCAAATGCTAGCAAAGAATTTCACTGTTCGTTAAAACCGTGCTCAGAGGACACCAAACATCTGGATGAACCCAAGCCGTGCAGCCTAAGACGTTGGCAAGTTTTATCTCTGTGATGGCGAACATCTGGAACTGTGAACCGTTCTCAGAGACACAGTTGGAATTTTCTATTTTTATCCAGATGTTTGGCGTCTTGTCTACTTGGCTTAAGAGCCTGGAGAACGTCTCCCTGTGAAACTAGAGGGCGTTCTGAATACGGTTATCTCTCAACTGTAAATCACAGTGAGTGCCAGCAGGACATGGAAACAGACCAACAGGACACAGTGCAGATAAAGAAACCAAACATCACCCTTCGGGTCTTCACGGATAGAAGTTTTGTCCTTCCAAGTAGGTGCACAGTGACAGTCTTTCAGCCACAGCAGATCCACGATCAACACCAAGAGTGGCAGCTTCATGTTTCCGCTGTGACTGCAAAGGAAGAATAAACCTGTATCGAATGCCCTTGGTTTAGTTTCTGTAGGCATCAATTGAAAACACATGGTGATCCAAAGCATTTTTCTGTCGATTTTTCTTTATGACTTTAGACAATGTATGTTGATATGGTTGAGACATAAGGAAACTTGAAATCTAAATAAATTCTTTGAAAAAGAAAACCCAAGTCCCTCGTTTGTTTGCATTCTTCATGGCAGTTAAATAAGGTCTTCATCTGAAGCATTTGAAATTTAAAGCAACCAAAAGTATGGATCCCAGCCCCATAGAATCCAAACTTCATTTTATTTCCTTGTCAACAATAAACAACCCCCAACACAGAATTAGCTAAGTCAGAGGGGATTGTTTTTTCTCCAAAATTCTGAGGCCATAAGTAATTTTTAACCTAGATGGTTTACTACTTTTTTTCTTATGAAAGCAAGAACCCCTCAGATTTTTCTCATAAATCTTATAAAACCCATCAGATAAATGAATCATACACAAATTTTTTTCTTGTCAGATAATAAATTTCCTTTAATATAATTAGTTGTAAACATTCCTAATAAAAACATATGCTTTCACAGTTATATCTATAAATTAGATTATCTTAACTCCTCCCAAAAAGGATATTTATATTTTTACATATATATTTGTTATTTTGGAATAAAAAAACAACCCTATATTATTTAATCCACATTTGGAATGTCTTTTTAAAATAGTTACAAAGCTATCACATTTTACATCTAGAATTATCATTTGAGCTAATTCTTCTCTTTCTGTTAAGACCCTTTCAGTTTAGCGTTGGTCGCTCATTTGTGTACAACTCTTTGTGACCCCGTGGACTGTAGCCGGCCAGGTTCCTCTGCCCAAGGGATTCTCCAGGCAAGAATACTGGAGTCAGGAGTCATTCCCTTCTCCCGGGGATCAAGATCCTGTTTACCAAATAAAATTTTAACATATTTACCACTAACTCTGCAGGCTCTCCCCAGTTAGGTTGCCACCAGCTTCTGCAAGGACCTTCACTTTCCTCTGATTTAATGTTTGTCTGTGTCAGGGATTTAACCTTGTTCTATTAATTTGATGACACAGCTCTTAATCCTATTAACCTAACATTGTGAGATTAAGAGTATGGTTTAGAATGTGGTAGGGTCTCGAAAGAAACACTAGAGGGCGGGCTGTCTACATGATCAGAAACAGTGACCTTGAGCTACTTTATTTTACACAATTTTTTTTTTAATATGGAATTCTTCATGCCTTTGGGTGTCATCCTTGTACAGGGGCCATGCCTCTGTATTGTTCCAGTGTTTGTGTGTGTGTTTCCAAAACAAGCATACACAGATATGTTTGATAAGACTCATTAGAGCCTTAGAAATATTTTTTTTAATTGGAAATTTTTTCTGTATCTCTTCTTACACGGGCTTCCCAGGTGGTTCAGAGGTAAAGAATCTGCCTGCCAATGCAGGAGATGCTGGTTCCATTCTTGGGTTGAGAAAGTCCCCTGGAGGAGGAAATGGCTACCCACTCCAGTATTCTTGCCTGAAAATTTCCATGGACAGTGGAGCCTGGCAGGCTACAGTCCTTGACGTTTCAAAGAGTCAGACATGACTGAGCACATGTGTGTGTGCGCGCACACACATATATATAGGTCAGACAAATTTCTTTGTTGGAAGTGTAAGGAATAATGTGAAAAAAAGTAAGAAAATGCTTAGATAAAATGTTTTGAGATAACTAATAAGGACCTACTGTATTGCACAGGGAACTCTACTCCTTACTCTGTCATGACCTATATGCGAATAGAATCTCAAAAACAGTGGGTATATGTACATGTAACTGATTCTCTTTGTTGTATAGCAGAAACTAACACAACATTGTAAAACAACTATATTCCAATAAAATTTAATTTAAAAAACATTCTGAAGATTATTTACATAAGTTGTTTGGCATTTTAAAAAACATATGCAAACATTTTAACTAGATGAAATGATAACATCTAGCATATAAAGAGTGTAATAGGTGAGCATTTCACTACAATATACTAATTGATTAGCTGAACTAAAAATTCAGCAAATGATTCTTCTAAAAACAATTAAAGTGTCACCATAGCAGCTACTGTAGTCTGGATCTCTGGCTACTGAAATCTCAAGATTGTCTTGGGGTCCCTTTCCCAAGTGTGGAGGTATTCGACTTATTGATGCTTATTGATTGGACTTACTGATCACTACTAACTGATGCTCAGTACTTTCCAGCAGGTCACACTGACTGTTCTAAACTGATTCACCTGCCTTTGGGGGCCCTCAGAAGTTGATCCTTGTGTCTGAGCAACCTGCAGTCTGCAGTTTATCTCTGCTCTGCCTGGACACGGGGATGCGAAATTACAAGACCCACCAGAAGTCTTGTCCACATCTCATTTAGCTGTCTTGCATGTGTGCTAGGTCACTTCAGTCATGTCCAACTCTTTGTGACCCTGGGGACTGTAGCCTGCCAGGCTCCTCTGTCCATGGGGATTCTCCAGGCAAGAATACTAGAGTGTGCCATTTCCTCCTCCAGGGGATCTTCCCGACCCAGGGACTGAACCCATGTATCCTGCACTGGCAGGCAGGATACCACTTCTTTACCACTAGCACCACCTGGGAAACCCTTAGCTGTCTTGACTATTTGGCAATTCTTTGCTTTAGTTGAAAACCTCTTAACTCTGCTAGAAAACAGATCAGCTCAAAGCAAAATCTGAACTATTGTTATGTTAAGAAGCCTCACGTAACTTTTGAGCAAATCTATCTGGGAGTTGGTGATGGACAGGGAGGCCTGGTGTGCTGCGATTCATGGGGTCACAAAGAGTCGGACACGACAGAGTGACTGAACTGAACTAAATAACCTCAGATATGGAGTTGACACCACCCTTATGGCAGAAAGTGAAGAGGAAATAAAAAGCCTCTTGATGAAAGTGAAAGAGGAGAGTGAAAAAGTTGGCTTAAAGCTCAACATTCAGAAAACTAAGATCATGGCATCCGGTCCCATCACTTCATGGCAAATAGATGGGGAAACAGTGGAAACAGTGTCAGACTTTATTTTTTGGGCTCCAAAATCACCACAGATGGTGACTGCAGCCATGAAATTAAAAGATGCTTACTCCTTGGAAGGAAAGTTATGACCAACCTAGATAGCATATTAAAAAGTAGAGACATTACATTGCCAACAAAGGTCCATCTAGTCAAGGCTATGGTTTTTCCAGTGGTCATGTGTGGATGTGAGAGTTGGATTGTGAAGAACTCTGAGCACCGAAAAATTAATGCTTTTGAACTGTGGTGTTGGAGAAGACTCTTGAGAGTCCCTTGGACTGCAAGGAGATCCAACCAGTCCATCCTAAAGGAGATCAGTCCTGGGTGTTCATTGGAAGGACTGATGTTGAAGCTGAAACTCCAATACTTTGGCCACCTCATGCAAAGAGTTGACTCATTGGAAAAGACCCTGATGCTGGGAGGGATTGGGGTCAGGAAGAGATGGGGGCGACAGAGGATGAGATGCCTGGATGGCATCATCGACTCAATGGACATGAGTTTGGGTGAACTCCAGGAGTTGGTGAAGGACAGGGAGGCCTGGCGTGCTGCGATTCATGGGGTCGCAAAGAGTCAGACACAACTGAGTGACTGAACTGAACTGAAACCACCCCTACAAACAGACGTGTCTTATTATGAGAGGTGATCACATGGCCAAAGGAAGAAGCAGCACTTGGGGTCTTTTTCTCAGGAAGACAAGAGTCCATTTCTGGGAAAATCAATCATAGGAAATTGTGCAGCATCAGTGCCAACTCTGACCCTGAGAACCTTTCTAGTTACTTTTTTGTTGTCCAAATTTGGACTCACTTGAAGTCATGGCTGGAATCTACATGCTTTTTCCATTGTGGTTTTTTTTTTTTTTCTTTCTTGTTGTTGTTTTGGCCTCAAGGCTTGTGGGATCTTACATCCCTGACCAGGGATCAAACCAGCACCCCCTGCATTCGAAAGTGAAGTCTTAACCACTGGATCACCAGGCAAGTCCCAACAAGCTCACATTTTGTTGAAAATGAAACCAATGTTTAGGAAGACTGGTGGCTCATTCTATAGTGGCAGATTATTTTTTTTCCTCTCTATATTCCATCAGTTCAGTCCAGTTCAGTCGCTCAGTCATGTCCAACTCTACGACCCCATATACTGCAGCAAGCCAGGCTTCCCTGTCCTTCACCAACTCCCAGAGCTTGCTCAAACTCATGTCCGTCGAGTTGGTGATGCCATCCAACCATCTCATCCTCTGTTGCCCCCTTCTCCTCCTGCCTTCAATCTTTCCCAGCATCAAGATCTTTTCCAATGAGTTGGCTCTTTACATCAGATGGCAGAAAAGTATTGGAGCTTCAATTTCAGCATCAGTCTTTCCAATGAATGATTTCCTTTCCGATTGACTGGTTTGATTTCACAGTCCAAGGGACTCTCAAGAGTCTTCTCCAACACCATAGCTCAAAAGCATCAATTCTTCAGTGCTCAGCCTTCTTTATGGTCCAACTCTCATATCCATACCTGACTACTGGAAAAACCATAGCTTTGACTAAATGGACCTTTGTTGGCAAAATAATGTCTCTGCTTTTTAATATGCTGTTTAGGTTGGTCATAGCTTTTCTTCCAAGGAGCAAGCGTCTTTTAATTTCATGGCTGCAGTCACCATGTTTCCCGTTTAAGTGTAATTTCCAAGAACAGAACGTTATTGCTAGTACTAATTATTTTTAAAATATCCCGAAGCTTCCAAACAGTTTCTTCCTCTAATTATTTCATCTGTTTTCACAGCTGTCATTTTGTTCTTAAGATTAGGCAACACTTCATGTGAATCTGGTTACTGTCATAATTATGGCATCATTATGTTCAAGATTTAAGTGGGCGTAAAATATTATATTAATAACTAGTAGGTTGGTAACTTTCCTAGGTGGCATTAATGGTAAAGAACCTGCCTGCCAATGCATGAGACATAAGAGACGT